TAGTGCTACAGAAGATCGGTAAAAGCAACAGGTTCATTTAAGCCCAGATCAGTTTTGAGAATTCAAAGAAGGAAAAGAAAAAAGAGGATCCAATATTAAGCCCCCTTTAATTACAAGCAGCCCACGGGTTGTGTTTTTTTTTTTGTCTAGTTTGTGTCATGATTTATACTTCCTAGCTTAAATAAATGAACTGCTATGCATTACACGCCTAAATTACTATGCAATGCCAACATTAATGTTGTGTAGTATTTGTGTTTTCCATGCCGTTATATATGCATGGTTTTTAAAATTCATAGTATGATCTGAATTTGTTTAACTATTTTGTGTCATTTATATTGTACTTACTAAGATTTCTGTTATATCACTACAAATCTCACAGACTGCAGATTTTTAAGGAGTTAAAGGGTTTTTATTTATTCAATTTAAAAAAATACAAAGGTCAATACAAAAACACTTTATTGCTTCTCACTATGTCACAACTGCAACCTGATTGGACTGGTTGTTAGAGCAGCACATGGTGGCTGATTTCATGTTGGTGCATCTTCACCTGAGTACCTCAGTGAGCAGCGAGTCACGTTCTGCAGTAACTAGCCTGTGGCAAACTTAATTTACCTGGAAAACTACATCGCTCATTAAATTTAAACTTTTAAAAGTAGCTTCAATAAAACTGACTGCAGCAAAGTCATGCTGCTGTATCATTGTAAGTTATTTGCCAGTTATTAAATTATTATCCTTATGTAAGATTTATGGATCGGCTTCAAAGTAACATCAGACAAGTTGCAGCACTTTACCCTGACATGACCCACCTCTGCAGCAGTATTTTCAGTGGAGATTTTTGCGCTTCATGTTATTTTGTCTATCCTCTGCTTAAAGCAAAAGCATTGTAGGTGTTAATGATGAAAGCGGCCCCTTAAGGCAGATATAGCACTGTTAAAAAAGAGCTGTCATGTCAGACATTTGCCTCCCTCTCTGTCTGCTTTCTCTCTCCTCTTCTGTCTCTCTCGCTCTAGCTCTCTCAGTCCTCCAATTCTTGATGTTCAGCTCCCTGTGGTATTCTTCCAGTCAAACCACCAGTGGGGAAATATCACCCGTTTCCTTACATGTCATGATAGGAGCGAGGATGCAATTTTGAGTGCCAAAGTGTTTTTTTTTTTTCAGGGAAAGTAGGCCAAGAGCATGAGGATTTTTGAAAAGACAGAATGACAGAGAGACACAGGGGGAGAGAGGAAATGAAATGTGTAAACAAGAGAGTTTCCATCATATTTGTGACGTTTTGTTATTTGTTTGTGGGACATCCATCACTCTGGTACATGCCGCCTCTTTCACTGAAAGAAAACAGACAGCTGACATGAGGACAAACTCTTTCTCTTTGTTATTTCCTCCCTTGTTCCTTTTCTCTACATACATATATCAGTGTCTCTCCACTGGATGCAACCTGATTTCACACAGTTAAAAGGTAAAAGGTGAATGTCAGACACAGTTTCAAATAATGGCATTTGCAAAGAAGTTTTATTTTACATAATTATTATTATAGACATAAAATAAAAACATGTAATAAAGAGCACTTCTGCGTTAGGTTCTGATCAATCTAACATTGGTTAATGAAAAACATGTCCTGTCGGCTTTCTCTCTTGTGTGAATCTGTCATAAGAGCCAGTAGTTCTCACTTATCCTTCTAAAATGACAGCTTGACTCTGCTGCTCTTGCACATACACACACACTTATCCAAACACACTTTTGTATTTGTCTTTCAGACAGAGTGAAGAGAGTAGGAGAGTTTCCCTAAAGTCATATGTTAGATTCTGTCAAGGCTAGACTTTGAACGCTGTCGTTCATCTGGGAAAAAAAAAAAAGTGTGTATAAAATATCCAAATAAAGATAAAAGATGAAGATATGCACAGCAGCTAACAGAGGAACAAGTCTCTCAAATGTAAAGGCAGATGTAGCATGATGTGTGTAACACCACCATCTCCCACTGGTGTTCAGACTATACTTTGACACTGGGCTGTTTTTACAGCAGTTCATTGTTTCAGGTACTGTGAAACAGTCACTGCAGATGTTACAAGAACAGCACATGGCTCTGAATTCACCATCTTTATGAAGGTTTAAATTCATAACTCATCATCAACATATTACAGGATCGTTTTTGTCACAGTTCAATTAAAACATTGATGTTGATTTTGAGAAAAGAAAATCTCAGTTTGGACCCCATAGCCTTTTGGTCAGTTTTAGGAAGACCTTTCTGGTTTCTGGTTAAGTAAACTAGGAGCTCTAGGCCAGGATGTGGTGAAACCAGTGGATCTTAAACAATAAGGGCTCTATTTGTTACAGTAGTCTGACTTCCTTCCTTTGCTTTGCTTTTACTGGAACAACCATGGAAGAAATTGAACAGTTACTGAACAACAGACTGTTTTAAAGGTGAACAGCTCCCCTTACTCCATTGGTTTATATGTTCAAATAATTAATTGCTTTAGTCCAACTGAAACTAAACCGTTAAAGACCCACTTAAATGTAAATCAAGTTTTTCTTGTTGTTTACATGTTCATATTATATTTTTCTGATGCTACAGGACATATTATGAGAAAAGTAAGAGTGAAATTGCATTTTTGAGTATTTATGCATTCCAATCACAGTGAATCTCTGACAGACCCAAATGGCAAGTTTAGAAACAATGAGATTTCGTATGTAGTAAATCCAAGCTCCGCCCCCCAGAGCTCCTCTATGCTGGCCAGACTCAGAGAGATATAGAGGACAAACGCGGAACAAGCATGTGCATTGGCAGACTGCAGTGCTCGTAAGAAAGCTAATTATGATATTAACTTTCACCATGTCCCTAAAGACATTAGTGTCTGAGAGCTGAATAGCTTCTATGTTACCTGCTTCTTCTACTACACCAGCAATGTTAGACTGTAAGCTAGCCTGAAGAGGAGCGTGCAAAGCAGCGCTGTCTCTGCCCACGACTCAGAGGTGAATTGCTGATGAGTTCCTGGAGTTTTGCAGAAAAGCCCTTGAAAATGACACAGGTAACTAAAAACTTAATAGTCACAACTTAAAGACCACTGAGAACGATCGGAGATGGATTTTGAATAACATGTCAACATGTTAGTCTGACTGAAATCACATTTAATGAAATTCCTCGTAGTCAACTAACATACCTGTTTAATGCAGTTGGGGATTGAATTTCTCTTTTTCATGCATATGGCTCAATCATACTTGACTGGCTGTTAAGTGTTTTTCATATTCTCCATTGTTTGCATGCCAGCTTTGAGTTGAATATTAGAATTCCGGTGCCAGGAAGCTAGGTAGTAAACCAAAACTTGACAAAGAAAGGATGTTAAAAAGATGAAACTTTTCTATCGTGCAAGCAAACAGTACAGAGGTGTAAAAGTGATAGTGTTTTAATCATTCAACGTACTTCCTGTTAGCGTCTTGACGAATGCTTTGATACCACTGACCTTCGTTCAATCTGGCTAATCGGGTTCCAAAGTTATATGGCAACATGGACGTTAGTAGGGATTGTAAGTCAGGAGTTTCATCTTGGTTTCGTTGTTTTGAGTTATGACCATAAAGTTTTAGCTGTAATTTGATGAGTCCAGTTTCTGTTCTTGTGCGACCAAAGAGCGTAAATAAATTAACATGAAATGCTACTGTTATCTGCTTAAGTGTTCAGCTTTATAAGCCAAACATTGACGGAAGGTGATAAGTGCAAGGCTGTCGTTTGTGATTATGTACAGTACATTATCATGGCGAACCAGCTGTCAGTGGACACACAAGCAGCTGCATTTTTTAAGAGGGGCTATTTTGGGCTTTCATAAGAGGAGCTTTACTGTGTTTTTCTTGTCTTCATTAAACTAGTCTCGGGAAAGTGTCACATCTGAGCTGTTTGCATCACACAATACAGTTTTCACTCTTTACTCGTACCTGTACTTCTGCGTCATTGTATCATAACGATTTGTCGGTACTATTTTGTAAAACTTGGCAATTAGCAAAAATGTATTGACAAATCCCAGCTGACATCCATGTTTATATGTGAACAGTTTTCTTCTCATGCTACCACCATTTATAATAAACGTAAGACCTTACAGCCAAAGCCAAACATGCCTGTTGTTGGCATGGTACAGAAAAAAGTCAGTTCACCCTTAAGCTGATTTTTTTTTTTACCCTACTGACTTATTGAGATGTTTGTGAGTCTCTAGGAAACGGTTTTGTCCTTCATTTTGTGGAATTTGTAAAAGTTGTGTAACTCCATATAGCTGATACTCACACAGCCTCTGCAATAGAGGGAGAGGACTCAAAGTAAATGTTGAATTTTTTTGTCATGTTGATGTTAGACAGCACTATTCCCAGCTGTATTACATAGATTGTATGAGGAGTGGAACTGGAAATGCAAATAACAAGTGAGCATGCAAACAGAGAGAGGCAGATAGAGAACGAGAAGGAGAGGGAGAAAGAGAGAGAGAAATGGACTGAAAAAAGGACGTCGGGACTTCTGCTGCCACAGGAGAGGTTTCATATAAAAACATGCAGTCGACTCTCCTGTCCAATTCGCCAAATTACTGAAGACCAGCTCTACCCCTGAAGAGAAAAGGGGGGTAGATGGAGAGTGTGTGTGTGTGTGGGGGCATCCGACTCATCTCATTTACCGGCTTAGACAAGATCTCTCTGTCAGATACGCTCACACACGTGCGCACGCACACACACACACTGCTTAAGTCAGCCCTCTGAAATATTTACTAGCCTCATGTGGGGAAATCTCTGAGGATTATCCCCAATAACCTGTTTAACTTAATCCTTATCTCACACACATGAATAATAAATCCTCCCCCTACTCTCTGTCGCTCTCTCTCTCTCTTCCAGAGAAGAAGTAACGCCTCTCTTACCTTACTCCTCATCACCCTCCTTCTCTCCCTCCCTCCCTCTCTATCTCTCTCTCTCTCTCTCTCTCTCTCTCTCTCTCTCTCTCTCACTCACTCCATCTGGTTCATGAACATGAGCCGGCTGCTTTCTCTGTCTCTGCGAGCGTCTTTGAGCAGTTTTGACATATGCGCTCCCTCTCCACTTCTCTGCCTCTTTCTTTTTTCTCTCTGTCTTTCTTTCCACCAATCCTGTACCTCTCCATACACCTCTCTCTCCCCCCTGCCCCCCCTACCCCCCCAGGACAGGAAGAGGAGCGGTAGCAGGGAGCACCAGCAAAGAAGGTTGACCACAATAACAGGAAGAGGAAGTGGGCAGTGACCTGTGTGTGTGAGAGAGAGGGAGAGGGGACTGTAGTTCGGACAGCTGGGGTTCACCACTGCACTTTTGGCTTCTGGGTGAGAAAATCACATCATAGACGACGGGGGAAAAAAAGATTACAAGCCTCCAAAACCTGTTGGACTCCTGAGGGGATAAACCTGGATAATCTGAGGAGAACAAACAAGCTGATAAAACAACTTTATAACTGGAGCCGTTGGAGTTTTTACCTGTTCGAGGACAGAGACTTGAAGAGATTTTGTAATTTTGAAATCTAACTCCGGGATACATTCTCCTTTAAGAGGCATCCGCCAATACTTTATCATTACAGACTTAAATTATTATCTTTCCCTTGTCCAGAGAAAGGATTTGTGCTGAAAACCTGCTTAAAAAGCCACAGGAGACAGAAATCCCTGCCTGTACAACAACACCTGCTGCTCTCTTTCAACATCAGAAAGAGCCCACAGTCAAAAAAGAAAAGAAGCGAGAGGGGGGAAGAGACAGAGTTGAATCAGGAGGCGGTTTTGCTCCCTGTTGAGCGCACGACCACCTACCAGCCTCTAATTTCTACCACAACCTGCCACATTAATAAAGAATAAACCCAGAGCGAGAGAGGAAGAGAGCAGGCTTTAGAGATTTCATTCCGTGGAGAAACAAAGGTCTGAACACTTCTACTTGAACTGGACTAACAACCTGTGAGGTGAGTTCTCTTTTTCTGCGTTGTGGTTGCAAAATTCTGAAGAAAAAAGCTGGTTTTACTGTTATGTGTGCATGCACATGTGGTGCTTTCCTCTCTATCAAAGGGGAGTGAAAGTGTTGATTTCCTTGTGTAATGCAGCTTTGTCAGATAATGTAATCCAGAGATCCTTTAGAGAACCCTGCAGGCTACTTTGCCAGTCACCACAGGGTGAAACGCTCATCAATAAGGGTCAAACTGTGCGGAGGGAGTCACAGAAATAACTTGATACGGCTGTTTCTAACCCCTGTAAGGACGGGCTGTCAACCGTCACAGTCCACATATGTTACGCCAATGATCTCAGACAGCTCGGTGTAGATTTGAATGCTGTAATTGAGTGCCCCCACCTCCCCTCCCTTAACCACCCATTTTCCCCAGAGGCTGGACTGTCATTCCTGAGCACAGACGGCTGCGACCATTAAGACGATACAGGATGATCTGTAGACAGAGCAGGAAAAAAAAAAAATCCTTAAAAAAGGGAGAAACGAAATCCACCAGGAGGATATCGGCCGTTCATTTTTAGGGTTCCACTTTGAAAAATCTCATTTTTGTTTTGTATCTGTCAACTTAATGTCTGTTTTTTTGGATAAACAGCACTGATGACACTGTTTAATATTTGTGAACTTGTCAAAACGTTGTTGAGTGGTGTGGAAATACGGCATTTTGGAATCAGACTTCCCTGCTATACATGACGTTGATGTTTGATCTTATTCCTTCTTGTACAGTTTAATCCGAACAGGTCTTTCAGTAAAATGGTCATACGTGATTGTTTGAGAGGTTACTCTGCGAATCTGCCGTGCTTTGATATAAGTTGTGGTTTTCCTGGACATCTCATTACAAGTGTTTCCCTTAGTTTGTCCACACAATAACAAAACCACATTTGGAGTAATAAATGTCCACTGTGTAACTGGAGCTAATGCCCACAGTGACAGAGGTGATTTGATATGGTGGTTGTTACACTGAAGGCTGTCGATAGAACTAAACCCAGTGGTCTAATTCCTGGAGAGGGAACTATCAGAGGGAAAATCCTTTGGGTGCCATCTGGGAGACTTCACCCTCCCGCACATGCACACACACGTACACACATGCACACACACACACACACAAGATTCCTGATTAGAGCCATTCGTTCGTTCATTCAGATATACGTCAAAGTAGTTGACAAGCTGTCCAGATGTGACGATGTTAGCTCAGCCGAAGTTCCTGATTACAACTGAGAGACCCAGTTAGGGTTTATTTCAGTGCCTGACCTGTATTCTGCACTTTATGTCATACACATGAATTTGGACAAGATTTGATCCCCTTGAACAACATAGGAATTGGTTTCAACATCTCATCTTTGGGAAATGACTCTTGACATTTCACCTGGAAACATACTCAACAAAATAATACATGTTTAAAGAGTCTAAGAGGATGACTCAAGGAAGATTTATCATGAATGTTTCATGTCTGAAGCTCCTGTTAAGACCAACACGATGTCTGATTGGTCAGATTTTCTTTTTACAAGGCGATCATCATACAATAAGAAAAAACTACTTAAGCAATTATGTTCACAAGTTCTGCATTCATGAGCTATGTTGTATAAGAACTGAAAAATCACTATTTTTGGGATGTTGTAGCTGAAAATTTTGCCTTCAGCAAAGACGAGGGCTGACAGCTGAGCCAAAACCAATGTGGATAACACACTCAGCCTTAAATGATCCTCAGATGTCTGTTGGTCATTACTGTCAGTATGAAAGCAGCACGAAATCCTTCATCACCGGTCCACTTCAACAGAACAGATTATTCTGATTGTGTGAGAAAATACACTAATAAAGTGAGGGAGAATGAAAACCAATCACAGCCTGCATACACTTCGTGACAAGACAGTGTCAGTGAGGACACAGTAAGCATATTTGAGTATATGTTTGTGTGTGTGTGGGGGTGTGTGTGGGGGTATGTGTGCGAGTGGTATCGAGTCCTGGTGTGACTTGCTGGCAGACAGATTGTTAGAAGCTGCTCTGTGATTAAACATGTTTTAATCTTGACAACAGACACCCACTACAGTATTCAGCAGTCTGACACCAAATGTAGATTTGAAGCTTTGGAGTTTGTTCCTGTGGCCCAAACACACAGATGAACAAAGTCCAGATTTTAGGGTAGTTAAAGTCGACCAAAGTAAACCAAACTGTGTCAGAGACTTCATTTGAAGAGGGATTTGTGCTTAAGCTCAGCAAGCTCAGCAAGAAATTTTTGGTAAAGTAAAATTGACCTGTTATTTGTCCTCTAAGTTCTACTTGTAATAGGCCTAGTCTGAAATCAACCTGTGGAAAGTTCTATTACAAGGTTAACAGACATCAAACTTGTGCAGGTTCAACCTCTGGGGAGTTGAAACAAATGTCATAGTTTCTTGCCTGTTCCATTATGCTGCATGGGTGCAAATAAAAGATTCAATGCAAAGATGATGCAAAAGTGATTGATGACGTGACCATTAACTTCAACATGTTTTGTCATCTCGGGAGTGAGATTAGTGCGAACTATCTTTGTGGCACTTGGAACTTTCCATACGGGGTGTGTCTTTTGATCCAGTGGAGCAACTTCAAGGTTGTCTGGAGTTTAAAGGGTTCATCCTCAGGGGACCGTGGATATTCTTAACTGACCTCATAGCAGTCAAGCTACCAGTTATTTCCTTTTAGAGTGTGTATATCATAGATTGTATAGAGAATGGACGCTGTCTGCATCCTCGCTGGGTGAAGCCATCGCGAGAACAGCACCCTCTGATGACGGGCTGCAGTATAGGTCATCAATCCCACCTCTTCCAGCAATTCCTATGGAGCTGTGGACAAATTTTAGAAGTTGATTACACAGAATGTAAAATTTTCTCCTCCCTGGTTGCGATGTTGACATGTAGTTACTGTAAGACTGGTTTGTGCTCAAGTCCTCTTTTTTTTCTGTGCGGCTCCATTTTTAAAAGTTATTAGGGGGTTCATGTTTTCTATGGTTGACACTTGATACAGCCTATGAGCGTATGAAGATTGTGTAGCTCATCCAGGGAATATGCTGTTTGAGCCAAGCCTCATCACAGTGACTCTCCCGCTGAATGCAAACAACGCTACTGCGCAAGTGGTGGGTGCAGGAAGTGGAGAAAATCCTGGAAATACCGAGAGCAATTCAGCTCTAAATTCTTATGACAACGGAAGGCGGACCAAAGTTTTCCATAGTATATACAGTCTACAGTGGACGTTCTTGTCGAGCTGTGTAACTTAAACTTGTCCAAAATGTAAAAGGTTCAACGTCTGCAGATCATGATAATCTGCTTTGATTAGCATCAGTTTTTTATGGAAGTGAACGCTGTGGCCTGAACAGGTGAATACTGGCCAAAGTCTTCGAACTCATCCACATCCTCAGGACACATTCTCTGGGACAAAGATCACAGCAAATACAGAAAGCAAATCATAATTTTCACAGTCTCCTTGCCAACTTTTTGGTATTTAATTCATAATAAATAACCACATGGAAGGACTAAACAGCTGACACACACGAGACTTATAAACCAGCCTAAGACATAGTCACCCTTTTGTAAAATACAAGCAGGCAGGGTTATCATTTTGTCTGACTCATTCAGCAGAAACTGTTGTATCATTTAATATTTCTTATACCACTAAATTCACACCTTTAGCCACATTTCAGTCTTATTGTAAATGTTTTAACTGTAACAGATTTTTATTGCTTTAATATTAGGCATTTTGCCAACTCTTTAAACGACACTTAAGCAGACAACTTCGTTCTGTTAACTTGTGGTGCCGGATGTAGCTGCTGGTTGGGAATTGGATATGAGACATGGTGACACAAACCACAGAGCCAGCTGCATTTGATTGTCTGACATTTTAAGAATTAAAGACAAACATTTTTAGATATTAAACTTCCTTTGTGTAATCCAGGGCCCACAGATAAATGATGGATGACACTCAGAGATGACTGACACATGCCTTGTCCCCACACAGATTTATCATAAAGGATGGCAGATCTCTAAAACACTGAAACATGAAAAACACACTTGTGCACCAACTTCAACGTCCCCTCAGCGAGCAGCAGGATTATAAAGTCTTGTTGACTCGTTTCTATGCTTTAGCCTTTGGTTGAGTGAAACTAGGTCAGACCTGTCTGCCAGTCACAAAACATCCTGCAGAATGACAACTGTATCTCTGCTCCTCCGTCACACTCTCACACGCTCCCTCGCCTGCGGACAATGTACAGATGTAATTACAGATATTCCTGGATGTTATTTATTCTCCATACCTCTGAACGATGCCTTTGATAAACACTGCCATAAATAAACTTGTATAATCCTGAAGTGAGCTTTGCATGCATGAAGCTTGCAGTAGAGAGGAATAAAAGGGCGATTATCAAAAGATTAACAACTACTGCCGTAAATCAAAATGACAGGTGTATACAACTGTATAAAAGGAATGTAAACTTCATTTACATCTTATTGATCATACTCAACCCATCTGTCACTTTCCATAAATCACTGTTGACTGTCTTCTGATGTGAAACTGACAGTAAAGGGTTTAAAAGTGAACTGAAGTTAAATTGAGACTAAAAAGATTTGTTGAACTGGTTGTATCCTGTTTTTGAGCCCTGCAACATCCATTAAGGTGCTAAGTCTGCTTTTAAGGTGAGGCAGAGAGTGACAGGAACGAGAGAAGAAGAGAGGCAAAGAAGAAAAGGTGAGAAAAGGAAAAAAGGAGGCATGATACACGGGAGACAGAAATAGATTGTGTGAACATCTAGATGCAGTTTTTACCTTGAGAGATTTGACTGGAGGGAAGAGTAGAAATTCAAGGGAAAAATGAGTGAAGAAAGAGACGACTGAGCAAAACAAAGAGACAGATTTAAGTTCGAGACATCAGGGACACAGGTCAAAGTGTGACAGACAGTAGCAAATTGAGACCTCAGAAAAGGGGAAATGAAACCAGCAGCAGCAGCTGAATACCAGGAAGGGTGTGACCACTCACTAATGACGGCCCTTCATTAACAGACTGTGTTATTTCCCAGAAGGCATTGTGTTTACACTTCCTGTTGCTGATAAAAGGGGAGGAGTAAGACCCTGCCCGTTAAAGACGGAAACAAAGTTTTTAAAAAATGCCCTTTTACGGAGAATTGGTCCTCAGGATTCGTCACCATTGAAGTAGCTGTGTGTGCAGAAAACCCAGTCATAGGATGTGATTATACATGAGTCAAAGGATACACTGAATTAATGTAAACGTGAGAAATAGTCCAGCTGAGTTCAGAGCCAACATGTATCTCAAGAATTTCATTGTTCATCAATGGTTGTGTCACAGCAGGCCTATAGCCCCAATCTGCCAGATCCAAATAAACCTCTCAGGATGTACCTAAACAAATTTTAGATCAAGATCAGAGTTTGAACTGCCAGTTTTCAGTTTTAAATGATGATTAAAATACATGTACATAAGCTCAAACTCATATTTTCATTTATACTGGTGTTCATGATTAGTTCATGAATAGCAACATTACCAGAAAAGATGACTGAACACTCTCAGCATTGTGCCCTTTATAAAATACATTTTCAGGTATTAAAAATGCCTCCTACCAAGGATAAACCAACATCTCATGATGTGTTTTTTGATCTTTTCATCATTGATTTCCACATTTAGCTCACACTGAAAACAGACTTTGAAACCCAAACATACATTTGATTATTTTTGATAGTTTTGTAATACATATTTTATTAACTTGTAATTCCATTAAGAACACCCTTAGGTCAAAACTTGTTTAAAGCCTTGATCATTCTAAGAGTCTTCAGTAGAGTCTGTTAAACTGCTTGGCATCAGTGAAAATCAGACATTAACACTGTAGTTTTAAGGTTACACAAGTATCCTCCTTTTTTGCAATCTACTTTTTAAATCGTACTAAATAAAACCCCTTCATCATCCCCAATGCATGTTTACATCTATAGCTTTTCAAAGATGCAGAATGGGTCATTTACAACAATACTGGTCAAACACTTAAGATGTAAGGGTAAGTCAGATTTACTGGAAAGTCTCCTTGTGCGAGGCCTGTGTTTTCCAAGGTCTCTGCGTGAGAACATACATACACAGCGCAGGGTGTGATTGCTTTGTTTGTCCAGAACATGTTGAGAGGAAGGATATGAGCTGACACACAGTTAAAACTAAGCTGGGTGAGGAGAAGGACAATATTGGACGTTGCCAGGAAAGAAATTTGGCTTTTTAAAGTGGTCTTGTCTGACTGTGAGGTTGTGTTGTTTAGAGGAGAGAGAAATCTAAAATGAAAAAAGTAAAACAAAACTAGAGGGTACAGTATTGCAGCTAAATGAGCTCGAATACACATCTAAAAATGGTTGAAAAACAGAATAACTATTAGATACGGAGAAGCCAAAGAATAAACTTTTAGATCTCACCAATGAGCAATTCGCAAGGATTTCTCTGTTTTGCTTTTCATCATTTAGTCATATGATACAAGTTGTTTAGCTTATGATATGTACATATGTGTACACATTCCTATTACATAATTCAATATGTCCTTTGTACTGAAGTTTTCACATGTAAAAATTACATTCTCTAATTTCAGTAAATTGCTGTAGGCTATTGTTTTCATTGCATTTACTTTTACAGACTCTTGTTACTCTCTGAAACCACCCTATGAATGCACAGACTTGCTTGTAGGACCACTCTGCTATACAAAGCAGATAGAAACCCAGCCTTTCTATCTTGTGGTTTTTTTTTCTACAGTCTGTGGGGGGAAAAAAGAGAGAAATAAAGGATTTTAATAAAAACAAACAAATGAACAAACAAAAAAAAACGGCTCACAGACAGGAGCCAGCTCTTTGAACTGGTTCATTCATGTCTGACACATCACTGTTAATTTTCCCCTTTCTTCCCCACTTGTCTGTTTCATTGTGTTTGTTTTTTTTTGTGTTTTTTATCCAAATGGATATAGAAGTGATTAAGGCCATTGTCAAGAGAGCCAGTGCATAGGTACACTCACAGAATAGGAAATAAATCACTTCCCCCCCTGAACCTTGAATCCCATTTTCTCAGAGTCATAGCTTAAAAAACACAGACAATTAACAACAGTGCAATAAATTCAATACAGTTGCGACATTAACAATATCCCTTGGTACACTGAGACGACTGATGCTCCTCTGATTAGGAGTTTTATTCCAAATTCTGTTTCAATTGGATACGTGGGTTTTCAGACGACGAAAAAGTATTTTTGTTCTTGCAGATGGAGGAGGATTTTCCGTTCAGTCATGTCTTTGACTGTGGACACTCCTCTTCAACAGTCCAGAGTAATTTGCATTAATAAACTCTGATTTTGTGTTTAATTAATTTAGTCCTGAAAAGAAACCAAACAAAGAAAAAAACACAAGAGGAAAAGTTAAAACCCAAACAAAGGGATGGGAACTAAAGGCCAAACAAACAGCGTTGAGCCTTTGTTTGGGCTGATTTGTGGGGAGCCGTGTGAAGAGGTCAGGGGAGGTCAGCAGAATACGAGATTAGGCCATTAGTGGAAGAAGACTTTGTGCGGGTATAATCCCCTCATCGTAATCTCTCTTCCTCATCCCTGCTGCTAATGGCTTGAAGACAATAAAATGCAGTAATCTGTCTATTGGGATGGCATAGGGCTGTGCTGAGATATCTACAGCGCACATACAGACAAAAATGTTTTGAAGATTATTTTCCTGGCATTTCTGCTTTATTAGATAGAGCCCAGTGGGGGGGAGACTGGAACCACGGGAGACATGGAGAGACAGGCAAAGAGGGTGAGCCAGCGAGAGGGATCATGAGGAAACGCCAAACTTTACAAGGCTGTTGGTTTTTGTTTGCATTATACATTTTTATTTTGGTTAAATAGTGGTAAAAGGCTTGAAGGCATGAGCGAGTGATGCAAGACATTGAAACATCTTCCAAGTCGTAACCAGTCAGTAACCATAAATCAGATGAGGTGCCAGTTTGGCTTAAAATTTCCACCAAATTTCAAGCAGCACTCTAATTATGGCCCTCCATAAAAGAAAATGTGTTTCATTTAGGCAAGGAAAAAAGAGAAGAGGAAACATGGTGTGTCTTGATGTGTTTATTTACACTGGGACAGACCTTCACTGTTTAAAGTTTAAAATACAGGCTATTACAATGCTTTTTGAAAGTTTGGCAGATGAGGAAAGACTCGTGATTTTTTGCTTCCTCAGGTATGATCATGACTTTGATTTGTTCTGCTTGGTTTGACACTGGTTGTGGATGTAGATTAAGGACATATGCTTTAGTTATTGCCTTATCAAAATGCTTGGTCATATCCATAGACTTCATTTACTATGGACAACTTGGTTCCACCTTCCGTCATTATACGAATTTGAAGCCGAATTGCTTTATGTTTTTCCAGGATTTTCTCCACTTCCTGAAACCAACATTACACAGTAGCGTTGTACACATTTCACCACTTGCACAGTAGCATTGTACACATTCAGTGGGAGAGTTGCTGTGATGACGCTCTGCTCAAACAACATATTCCCTGGATGACCTATGCAATCTTTATACACCCATAGGCTGTATCAAGTGTCAATCATAAAAACATAAACCCCGTAATAACTTTAAAAATGGAGCTGTACAGAAAAAAAGAGGACTTGAGCACAAACCAGTCTTAGAGTCACTACATCAACATTGCAAGCAGGGGGGAAAAATATATATATATTCAGTGTAATACATTTCTGAAGTTTGGCCACAACTCCATAGGGATTGTTGGAGGAGGCGGGATATATGACCTATACCGCAGCCCGTCACTAGAGGGTACTGTTTTCAGGGTGACTTCACCCAGAGAGGAGGCAGACGGTGTCCATTCTATATACAGTCCATGATCATATCTTACATACCTTGAGGTCCTTACACAACGGGAATGATGCAAAGATACAACGTGAATTTACTAAATATTCGGAGGCGAATTTTGACATGCCTGACTATACACATCTGGCCTGATGTGATTTTTTTGATTTCTTTCTGGGCAGAAGCGAGAAGACTGACACAACAGCAGACTGACTGTTTTTCAGTTCTGATTAGACTCTAGTGTTGAGATGGCTGTCTGTCATGATAGCATGTACTGAGTCGGGGCCAGTACCATAAGCACATTAAACTATAATCCATAAACGTACGGTAACAACCGAGACCTGATGGTGCTGTGACAGCAACGCTGTGATTGAGTTTGAGACAGTGAAAATACATACGGTATGTTGTATCTGAACATGTTAGCTAACAAGCTAAAGTTACTTAGCACAGATGAAAGTTAAAACAAAGATGTTTAGCAAACTGTTAAAGCACACAAACTATCGTCATATGAGAAATCCGACGCTATGACTCTCCACAAGTTGTCCTTCAGGTCGTTATCTTTGTAATATTTGTGTCTTTTATCAAAATGCACTCTGTTCCCCGACCTGTAAACAATCAGCTGGTCGGCCATGTTGGATATACCAGTGAACAGACATCGCAACAATACACCATCTGATTGGAAGCGGACACACAGTATGCGAAACTTTAGAAATATCGACTGTGAAACAAAAAAATAAATGCCGCAATATCACAGGACGGGAAAACGTCACTGATGTGAACGCTTGTATTGACAGGATAAAAAAAAAATGACGTCCAGAATAATCCCATGGAAAAAAACGCTCCCGGTGTGAAAGGACCTTTAGCCTGTTGTTTGTAGATTAATGGCATTTCCATTATAGGGGATCATGCATTAGAGGAGACACTGTACCAAAACTCCTCTAAAAGTGCTTTTCAGTGGTTGGCCACATAAGGGTGAAAACACTGCATCTGTTGTTAGTTGTTAGTTTGGACACTATGCTCTCTGTGTTAAGATGAATCTTACATGTCTGTGATTCACCTAAGAAATAACACAATTCAAGTTACAAACGAGTGAAATTTTTGATTAAGTAAAAACTTTGCACTTCACATTAAGGCATAACTTAAACGGAGCCCAGATACCATGCTGCTTGAAAATCAAGCAGAAATCTTTTTTCTTGTTGATCTCCTGAAATTTTTAAAGCGCTCCACCTGCAGCTTCATATTTTTGTATTTGTGTGTTTTGTCATCACAGATGTTGTTTGGCTTTCCAGTAGACTGGTTTAGTAACAACCAGTCATGAGCTATGTGAACTCTGGGGATCTCTTCCTGGCCCTAAAAATTAAATCTATAAATCTATCTCTATATAACTTAACTGGGAACATTATTTTGCTGGCAGAGCAGCTGATGATGCAGTTGACGAATAGGATATATATTTTTTTGTGTTTCTGGGTTGTGTTGTTATTGGTAATGATAAAATATCAAAGTCATAAATCCACGAGTTTTGGGACTTATCTGATTCCAAAACATTGCACATTGCTTTGAAATAGTGATGGGGTGTAATACTGTTTCATAACTAATTTACCATTAATGGTTTTATCCTCAATCTCAATAATCTCTGGGTAAATGGTAGAATCAGGGCTTCTGTGTTTTGAGGAAATCTACTGGAAATGGTAGTTTATTTGTTTAAGCCTAGGTAAACTGGATATAACTTTTATGGCCAAAAATAGCATGCATTTAATTTGTAGGAGCCTTTTGTGTTAGGACAGTTTTTGTACAATCATATCTGGGTTATGAACCTTGTGAAAAAGCTGCATTTTCTCGTGGTATTCGACTCTTAACATGAATGTGACCTTATTTCGCCTTATAATCCCAGATTTTTAAGAATTTGTATCCACTACAAAGCCCTCAGTGTTATGCCAAAACCCTGTACTTTTCCATGATTTTATGTGCTGCATTAAAGGGAAAAAAAAATACCAATCAAATATTTAAAATGTCAAACAGTCCCTCTATGGTAAATGGCTTTTCTAATGGCTGATTAAGACAGTCATCCTAAGTGGTTTTAATGTCAACTCGTCTCACCATCTCTTTGTCTGTCTGTCTGTCTATCTCTCTCTTGTGCTTCACCAGTGGGTCAGGACCTAAAATGGGTCACGGGCCCATGTTTAATAGATCCCTATATGACCACGGTAGTGATATGCCTCAGTCTGGGTCCCATGATGAGAGGCTAAATGCTTCATTTGGGTCCCTGGCTGAAGAGGTTTAAGAGCCCTGGTTCTCAATGATAGCTAGACCTCGAGCTCAGTAAGGGGGCGGAGAGTCCTTGGCCTTCACTTTGAGTCTCACCCTGGCACTGTGAAGGCTTCTGTCCATGCCTGATAAGTGGTTTTAATGTGATCTCCTCTCCCCTCTTTCCCTCTCCCTCCATATTCCTCACATCATTTATTCCTCTCTTGCCTCTTCCTTCTCATACTTTTCTTCTTTCTTTCACCCTTCTTTCCCCTCATCCCTACCCCCACTCTTTGGTCCTTACAGATGATGGCTTGGCTTCAGCTGTGTGCCATGATGGGGCTTATGGCCGCTATGGCCCTGACGCTGTCTCTCGCTGAAGATTCTGGCCTTCCTGTAGTGGACGCAAAGAAACAGAGCCATCTTGAGATCGTAAAGAAGCACAAGTATCCAGTTCTATTCAGGCAGAAAAGGGAGTGGATCTGGAACTCTCTCTACGTGGAAGAGGAGAAACCTGCACCTATTGCCTACAAAATTGGACAGGTAGGTCAAAATTCAGGGGAGATTTTTACTTAACATTAAGAAAATGCTGCCTGGACATGAGTATTGCCTGATGCCCAGTACATTGCATTGATGGAATAAAAAAAGACAGATTTCTTATTTCTTGCAAGCTTAGACTGAAAAACACACATAAGCACAATCTTTTGCTGACTTTTTTTTCTATGAAGTTAGCAAAACAGGTTAGAGGAGGGACTGTGCATGACTGCTGTGCTTGTTGGTACTGGGTACCTAATACTGCACTGGAGGGAGTATATCAATACTGGTATCAATCGATAACTGTATAAAAGGATGGAAGGCTCACCCTCTCCCTGAAAGTGAAGCCAAAATACTTCAAGCTTAGATGCAGCTTTAGCAATTTAACTGATGAGGTATGAGTGGCATAAAACTTTTTCCAATATGCTTTCCATCGCTACAGTCAGTTGTTTGTCATAGAATAGGAAACACTAGGATATGGCATGACAAAATTAGTCGACACAATACAAAGTGATGCAGTACCAAATGGAACAATACAGAACAAAATAATACCTAATGATATGATATTAAACAAGACGAGACTACACAAAATAATACTATTCAATGTAATATAATACAATTTGAAATGATGTGATCCAGTATAATGCAATATGATGTGATATATAATACAATAAGATGAGATAGATATATACAATGTCAGAAGATATGATAAGATATAATACAGTATAATACAATATGATATGATTCAATACAACAGATGTTATATGATACAATATTATATGATATAATACAAAAACATGTGATTAGTGATTATATGATATGATGCAAAATGATACAATATGATGTGACACAATGGGATAGAATTTGATACAATACCAAACAATACAATACAAAATAATATGAAACGATACTAAATGATAGGATATGATACGATATAATATGATATGATATGGTACTAGTACTTAGTATACACGTAGAATGTCCCAATTTAAGTTGTGCCCAACTGCATCCAAAATAGTACCAATGATTAAAACAATGTTGAAATATTCCATTTACTCAGAAAACACATACCAAAGAGACCACAAGCAAACAAGCAACACATATTGTAAATTACCCATATTGCATCAAAGGACAGCATTATAAAAGAAAGATAAATGCCAAATAGATAAGAACATCATGATGCTCTTGCACAAACCCCAAAGCCTCAAGAAACATCATCTAACATTTTGATCAAGGCAGGCACAAGCGATTCTTAACAGTGGTTCACATCAATCAAATTGATTAACGAGTATGTTCACTTCTTTTTACATTGACTTTAGTTTTTTGATGTTGGTAAAAAAAAAATTAAAAAAAAAGATGTGAGGTAATGCTTGACTGCTCTGCTGATAAATGCAGGCTATTGCAGCGATCTTTACTAGACTATCAAAGTACATGAAACTTTTAGTAAAGGTAAGCGTATACTTCACACTGTTACAAGAATCTGCTCATCTGTGTGTGTCTTGGTCGGCATGACTTGTATGTCATCAGTGCAATGAAGGTATCCGTACTCTGGTATAAGGAGTGTTTATACACAGTCCGTGGTATTGCTGTAGTAAGTATCAAAGCAATTATGAGCATTAATAACTAAAACAATCCAATACGAATATTTCTCTTTTTGTTCTGTATCCAGCTGCGGCAGTTTCTCTCAAAATGTTCATGATCACCTCATGGCTCTGTGGCTGTGGCCAGGTTTCATTCTGTTCGTTGCTATAGCCTGCCAAGCACCTGTCACTTGTTGCTAAGCAATTCATTGAAAACTATCTGAGCAATCTTGTTAATTATTTGGTGAACCATTGAATATCCGTATCCTCACTTTGTTAAAAAAAAATCAAAAGCTGGGACCATGTTTCAAACCATGTATTCTTTCACAGCTGAAGTCGAGCCAGAGAGTGGAGGTGAAGAGCTTTAAAATTGAAGGTGAAGGAGCAAACACCATCTTCACTGTGGATCGGAAAGGGGACCTGTTTGTCACTCGAGCTCTGGACAGAGAGGAGAAGAGTTTTTACCATTTGACTGCCACAATGTACGACGGAAATCACAAGCTGATAGAGGATGCTGGAGAGTTTGTTGTGCAGGTCACAGACATCAATGACAACACTCCTGTTTTCCCAAGAACATATAATGGATCCATTATGGAGAGGTCCACAATTGGTAAGTAGGCCACTTCACAAGGGTTTTTTAATCGGTCTTTGCTTTTTCATCTTGTACACAAAGGGGGACATTGTAGTCAACTTTCACGGTCTTGCAGTGTCTTGAGAACAAGAACAAAATATGTGTTTCCAACAGTGTGAAGAAACCATAAATGCAGCACATTCTTGCAGGGAGACTTTTCTTTTGCTCCAAGAATATATTTGACATTTACCATCCAGTGATAATTTAGAGCAAAAATAGACGAGGCTGTGAAACGTCTGGGAAAAATGTAACATAATGTCAACGCCTGTCACATTCATTAACACTTGCCTCTGTGAAAAAAGACACATTGCTGACTTAAATAACACAATCTTAGCACATAATCATAAAGAATTAATCAGCGAAACAGCCCTGATGTTCAATACTGGAGCATCTGGGTTTGGATTTCTTTGCAGATCACTCAGAACGTGAGCGTTTACATAGAACATTTTCTCTTATCCATTTCTCCTTTAGGAACTAAAGTGGTTGAGGTGAGGGCGACAGATGCCGATGACCCCACCACTGCTAATGGAGAACTCAGGTACTCGTTGACTCACGACCTTTCTGCCTTCCAAATCGACAGCATCACAGGTAAGTTTGCCGCTACAACATCCAGCATGATCTTAACCCTGCAGCAACATTGTAATTTTAATCCCTAACAAGTAGATGTTGAAGCTATTTCGACTTGAATATGAGTCAGAGCTGACCTCAAAGAGATAACACCTCTCTCTTTTTCCCTCTGAACTGTCTCTCTGCAGGTGTGATCAGCTGCAAGATAAACTCTCTGGACCGGGAGACCAAGGGGCAGTATGTGGTGGTTGTTAAAGCTCAGGACATGAGAGGCATGGCCTCTGGCAGCACAGCCACCACCTCTGTCACCATCACCATCACAGACACCAACGACAACATCGCTTCTTTCACCCGAAGTAAGATACAGAGTGCAAAAAGGACTGTGAAAATCTGTAGTGGTGATTGAAATTTTTGAAATGGCTCTCTGTCACACATTGATATAAAAATGTGCCCATTAAATATTCATTAAATTTACCGAAACTTTTCTATTACGAAATGTAATTGGTGTTTTTCTCTCTGTCTGCAGAGGTTTATGACCTGCATGTTCCAGAGGATCACAAGCTGAATGAGAAGATTGGCACGCTGGAGTTGGAGGACAGAGATCAGATTCAGAACAAGGAACCAATTTTTACCATCCTCAGTGACAATACCAACATGTTTAACATTGAACCGAGCCCGAACAAGGACGGTAACCTCATGCTCAAAAAGGTAAGAGGCTCATGAAGCAGTGAGTGAAGAGCTGGTATCTCAAGGGCAACATTTTTATCACTGAACTGGAAGAAAGAGAGTAGTTTAGTTTGAAAAAATATACCCACGCTTCTGAATCACAGATCCAAAACCGATAAGAAACTTATTTCAAAGCAGAATTACAAGGTGGTTTTGATATTCGTTTTAAATTTGAGGTATTTCAGTCATGCTTTTATTGAGGATGTCATAGAAAAGGCAGATAAACAGGTTTTCATTCCAGCATCTGCAATATTATGAACATTGCAGACTGACCCCTAACAGGTGTTTGTTGCTTATCAACAATTGGCCACTAATTAACTAAAAAAACAATAACTAATTATTATTACTATTATTTTTAAGAATACAAAACCCTAGAGTTTGTGTCTCCTTCGAGTGAGGGGGACTATTTCGTTTTGTAGGATTTCCTGTATTCTTGCTTCTCTGGATTGTGCTCTTCAGATAAAGTATTTAGGACATCAGAGAGCTGGAAATATACACTAATAAAATGAGCTCTTAAATAGCTCTCACCAGAGCAGGCCTTGAATCGAATCTTCTCTCTGCTCAACTCGCCCCTCAGCTCTGCAGCCCTTCTCATCTCTCTCAGCCGTTGTGTTTACAAGCACACAGTAAGCCGGCTATCGGACACACTGCGGTTGAGGCCTTATTCTTGTTAAGCTGTTTACACATGCCTTTGATACCCTGCCACTGAATATACCTGTTAGCATGAATAATCCAGTTAACAGATTATGTCTACCTGCGGTGTCCTGTCCACTGATAAAACAGGCCTCCAGGAAAAATAACATTTAACTTTGCAGCGACTGAAAATGAAGAGGGGGAAAATAATTCCTGCAAAAATCTGACCATAAGAAGTGTTTGCTAACATATATGCACTGCCATGAACATGCAACATGCAACAGTAAAATACTGTGCAAGTTGACAAAATTCAAGAAATAAGGTATTTCCATGCATGATCACATCTTATTAGCATGGTGGAGAAAGTTTGCGTCTCATCATGTTTCTGGAATCCAGAGTTATGAGATTAACCAGGTTGTTCAAGCTGAGACGTGACATTTAGAGCCTTTTTACACCTGGCATCAACCGCTGTCCTCGGTGAATACACGCAGGTGTTAATGCACCGAGGAGGAAGTCAGGGGATGCATTTGTGCAGAAATAAAGTGAAGTGTGAAACCAATGTCTGCAAAAGTCTAAAAACAGACGACAAAGACGAGAGGGTATACATATCTGAAGAGACAGAGTTACTTGAGTGACATTGAACATGATGTGCTCACTCGAGAGACAAAGGTAGATGCTGAAATGTAAGTAGAGAGAGTCACATAGAATACTTCTGATATTTTATGTGCAGTAGATCAAGAAGAAAAGAAAGCTCATGTCAACAAGGCAGAGAAAATAACATGAATATTTGCAGATGAGTTGTATAATCGAGTTTTGAACCCTTTAATTGTCTACGATTCTGGTTCACATACTGTTCTGAGTACTGAGACCGAACTGAACACCTTTAATATAAATAAGAGAAGATCTTAAATAACTAATCAAATAAATCACGCTTCATTTATGGTTGCCATGGATTGAATTCCTTCTTTTTTTCCTCAGCCTCTTGATTTTGAGACAAAGGACAGCCACACTTTCACCGTCCAAGTGCAAGAGAACCTCAGACATCTGCGTTTCCCTGCTGACAATGTGAACAGCGCCGTCACCACAGCTCAGGTAAATATCAGTTTATCTTCTTTGAGTTATAGAAGGACAGAGGAGAGAGATTAATAGGGCAGAGATGTTCATAACTGTGTATTTAAATAAAACTTTAAAATAATTGTTCGGTCCGAGTCCCTTCCAAATACATACACTTAGAAAAATTTAAGATAAAAGCTGCTGATCTGTAAGCTTTCAAGCTGTTAAATGTCATTTTGCTGTATATTCACAAGCAGAGCTGTAGACCAGCTTCCAATAATCATCAGCACTACCAGGCAGTCTTTAGTAGGCGGATTTCAGTGACAGACTGAGCCTGCAGAGCGACACCGTCGACAAGCAGAACAAAGAAATTTAACAATTCAAGTCCATTTAAATCTTTAATGTGTACCACATGTGTGCCGTTTTGATCCAAGACTGTTTTTAACTGTTACAAACGGATTGAAATTGACAGGTGAACATCAGAGTGTTGGATGTGGACGAGCCCCCGGTGTTCACCCATCCCATCTACACGTTTACAGTGCTGGAAGAACGCCTTGTAACCAACATAGGAACAGTTACAGCCAGAGATCCTGACAGAGCGAACAAAAGCATACGGTAAATTTACAGAAGAAAAAAAAAACAAAACAAAAAAACAACAAATCCTGTGATAAATCCTGCATAGTGGTTATTGCACTCATCTGTCTTTTTTCCATCTGCTCAGGTACTCTATCTTAGATAAGGAATGTCCGATCGGTATCAACCCGTTCACAGGTCAGCTGTCCACCCTGAGGATGCTCGACAGAGAGCTGGAGGCCACACACATGTTTCAAGTTAGAGCGCAGGAGGAGCCGAGTGGTACGTCACACAATTAATCCTTTAAACAATAAAACCTCAGATCAAAAATCGAAACCATGTGTTTTCTCTCACACATGCATACAGGGAAGGCCAAAAAGATAGTGTGTTCTTGTATTGATTTTGTGGATTTATTGAGGGATGGGGATTTGACACCTTAACGGGGGATTTTTATGGGTTTAACATATTGCTACAACACCTGGTCGACCCACACAGGGAAAAGAGTAAGCAGGAAAATCACATTAGAGGGTCTCTTTGTTCACTTGCAGCTTCTTAACCAAACTCTGTATATTTTTAGACGAGCAATGAATGAAATCCAGAGATCTATTTTAGTGGCTTGTCACGATGTTTAAGGAACACAATGGTCCCCTGAGCTTGACAAGGTCCACGATATACAGTACATGCACTGAACTAAAGATAGTTTCAAAATCTCAGAGCAAGTAACAGCAAAAAGACTCTCACGTTTATCAAAAGATGAGGATTCAAAGGGATGGCGGTGATGTGCGTAGAACAAATGTAAAAGCTGCTTTAGTGTGACAAAACAGCTGCCAAACATAAAGCTCTTAAATAGATATCCTTTGAGTCACTTGACCCTAATCAGCTTAATTTACGGATGAGATGCACATGCCTGATCAGCGTCACAGCAAAGCACAGTAACAGATGTGATGTGTGGAAAGATGATACAGGGGGAAAAGAAGTTATGATAAAGTAAATAAAATGCTAGAATACAAAATTTGGGGTCAATGGGATGAATTCTCAATAACTTAAGCTGATTGCTATTTACAGTTTCAATCCTCCGGCCAAGTTGTGAGATAGTTAATCCAAGATAAAGCTCATCAGGATGCTCTCACATCCGTCCCTCATGACTGTCTTTATCTCCTGACTTCTTAAACCAGCCTGAGACAGAAACTCAGGATTTGCCATAGTGTCGACAGGCAGATTTGAAATGCGGTTGACTCCTTTGTAAAGATTGATTTGTTATAACACGTATGATCAGGTTGAGTGCATCATTGTTTTGTGTTTTTTTTCTGTCCTCCGCAGGTTTGGAGTCATTTGTAAAAGTCAACATTATAGTTCAGGACGTCAATGATAACTTACCCGAGCTTGTTGCTGATGAGATCTATGTCTGTGAGAATGACTACGCTGGCACGGTAAGAGAAACACAGCATGTACAGCAGGTTAAAGGGATATTCCGGCATATATTTAAGTTACGGTAAAAAACACTGTAACACCTAGTTAGACACTCCCTCAAGAGATTAATGTTGCCAACTTCTTACCTCTCTGGTCATACCAACTTCAGCGATGACCGCACAATAGCAATACACAGAGGCCTACATCTCCATGCGTAAACCTCAACCAAAAAGCCACTCTATAGCTACAAATCACCCACTCTCCTCCACTCTCCTCCTGGGAAAGCCCTGAGACTGTGTATTGCTATTGTGTGGTCATGCTGAAGTTGGTGGAACCAGAGAACAAGCAGTCTGCAACATTCTTTTATCGAGGTGGTGTCTAATTCGGTGTAACAGTGTGTTTGACCATAACTTACATTTACACCAGAATATCCCTTTAAGTCTTGATTTATATGGCTTTGGATTTTTGTTGCATCTCTGAAAGCTCAAGCTGACAGTAGCACTTTAAGGCACTTAGTAACACAGGAACAGTATATTATTTTAGTTGTGTTTTATGGTGCTAGACCTGCTTTACTGTCTGTCTGAAGAACAGAGAAACGAGTACAACTGTTGCAAAAGATAGTAGTAAAACAGCACAATATTATCATGTAACACATGGCATCAATGCTTAATGGGCTGCATTTACTATTTTAGTGGCTTTACCCCAAGGGTGGAGCAACAAACACAGACAGACCAACAGAAACATTTTCGTGCAGTTTTAAAGTGCTGACCTCCTGTTAAGACACAGTTTGGGGTTCAGAGCAGAAAAATGATGCAATAGTTTTCTGATGTGTGCTCTGCAAATACAGATGCTTCTAGAAATGATAGTTTTTATTACGGCTCACCTTCTAAATCATGTGAAAATAGGTTATTTTGGATAATGTGTGAATTGAATGTTTATCTAGTATGGTTCACTTTTGCTCAGCCCAAACATTATTGTTTTATTCTCTTACTGATAGTTGTATTTAAATTAGTTATTTGTAATAATTGATATTAATTTCATGAACACTATACATATAGTGTATATCGAGACTGCATTTGAGCCATTTTGTTTGTCCCCAGGTGATAGGAACATTGAGAGCCACTGATAAAGACGACCAGCCAGCCTCCTTCAGTTTCAGCCTGGCCAGTGAGAGCTCCAACTTCACCATCAAAGACTACAGCAGTAAGTCTGTGTGTGCACCCAGCACATATTTACCTCTCTCCTCTTGCTTGTTGCTCTAAATGGCGCTCAGAGGAAAGCGCTCGCCCTGGCACTTGTTGCTATGCAACAACTGAAACTCCATTTGAGGCACAGTGCTTTGTTGCTGAAAGTTGAAATTATTTTAACTTCTCAAAGCGTGCTTTGGTTCCCCCAGCCAGACGGGGGATTTAGAGAGCCTGTCTGGGACCGTAAGTGCTGTCTAGAATGCACAACAGCAAATATTGAAAATAATGAAAGCAAGTGGCTCAGTGGACTTGCAGATGACTCTCTATGTACACTGAACTCAGCCCAGCTGAAAATGTGAAAGAGACACACAACACATACAGAGCCGCTGTGCTGCTTTTTACACTAAAATACTGTAAACAAGTGTGGATGAAAACTGCACCAAGACATCTTTATACCTGCAGGGTCCATGAATGAGTTTGTTATGCATTATGTTATAGTTTAAGCTTTTAGAAAAACCTTGACTAAAACAACAGCTGTGGATAAATCATTGAATATATTCAGCTTACATTATATTTTTCTGATCAATTTTTTACTTATTTCCTGTAAAGATCTAGTCGTGATCTTTGCATAAATGTTTAAGAAAATAAAAAACAGTTATTTTCTGCCTAAGTTTAGCGCTTGAACACCCTAACACTAAACACAGATTACTGTATTTATAGACTGTCAACTTGTACTCGAGACTCACAGCTTTTACCAAAAAAAATCCTTCAGATGACAATGAGGCTTTGTGCTCAGTGAAGGTTTGTGCTAAGATCTGCATTCCCAGATATAAATTACAGTTAAATCCTGGCTGGAAGACCATAGACAGGTTACAGGACTGCAAATTATGTATGCCCATTTTGCTGTGCACAGGAATTGGCTTCATGCATACAGCCTTTTCCTGCTTAAAATGCTAGGTGATGATACTACTGGGACTTAAAACCAAAGTTGAAACACACTGATACAAAAGGGGATCTGCGTGGTTCATCTCCCGAGGTTTGCATGGTCAGTAACCAGCCTGTCTTAAATATGAACACACATATAAATAAATATTCACCCCTGAGGAAATGGATGATTTGTCAATTAAAGAAGTTAGTGTGTATAAAAGTTTAACTTTCCTCAGTCAGTTATCAATAAATTTGATGCCTCCATAGCCCTTAGGATCTTCTGCAGATGTACGAGTTACCCTTAAGAATTATTTTTTGTCCTTTTCTGACCCTTAGCCAAAGTTGTAAAACTACTGCTGTTATTTTCTCCGCTGTGCTGACACTTCTGCTCTTCATTTGTCATCCAAATGGTCACGTGCTAAATGGCTAAAGAAGCTGCTCTGCACTCCTAATGTTGTCACAAATAGGTTTGAACAGGGGAACTGTGAAAGCTTGAGGAATACACAAATACTTTCAGGGATATTCCTGTGTAAAATGAAGTTAGGGTCAAACAAACTGTAACACAGAGTAAGACAACCCCTCGAGAGATGAATGTTGCCAACCGCTTGCTTCTCTGGTTATACCGACTTAATTAACGACCGCACAATAGCAGTACACAGTGGCCTACATCTCCACGCGCAAACCATCACCAAGTGCAGCAGATCATTTCCACTCAGTAATAATCATCATAATAATCATGTTGCACTGCAGACGCAATAGTTCTTCTGCCTGCATCTGCAGTGCAAAATGAATATTATGATGATTATTACTTTATAAAAATGATCCACTGCACTTGGTGTTCGACTCTTCAGCGCTCCCCCACAAACAAGCGGCTGCTGGAAGAGTTGTGTTTAGTCTCTTTGCTAAGGAAACCAGGCAACGCTTAAAAAATGTTTGATGGCTAGTACTATGGCTGGGACCCTATATGTACTGTTGATGAAGTTAGGTGCTGTTCTGAGCATTATTTGTGGCTATACTGTGGCTTTTTGGTTGAGGTTTGTGTGTGGAGACGCAGACCATTGTGTATTACTAGTTGGTGTAACTAAAGAGGCAAGCAGTCTGCAACTCTCATTCATCTCCCAAGGGAGTGTCTTACCTGGTGTTATGGTGTGTTTGACCATAACCTAAATTTACGCCGGAATATCCTTTTAAGTGAGTCTTTATTAGAGGCATATTGGTGTGTCAGAGCATCAGTGTTTGATGACTGGTGAGACCAGTGTGAAATTTGTACCTTTCTTCCACCAAAACACATTACCCTCAATTGAAAGTAATGCCTGCTGTCAGATGATCTGGCATCATTTGAGGATAAAGATATCGATGGTGTGGTTGTGGAAGTTAACAATGTCAGTTTAAATAAACAGACTGTGATGCAAATAAAGATGTGAACTCTACAGAGGAATTTTCTTTGATCACACAATGATATTTAGGCAAAGGTTGACACGCTGTTGCATCACATTTACAAAGCCTATTTTTTGGTTATCTAACTTGAGACACAAAATGGTACGAGTAAAACAGTTTTCATTATTTTTGATCACCCCATGCCCTTATTATACATGAAAGCAAGAGGAAAAGTCTTACCAACTGTTCCAGTCAAATATTAAAAGTGAATAGATGAAAGCCCAAGGTAGTCAGATGAAAGATTTAGGTGAAGTGTTGCTATTTAATTTCAGTGAGACTGGAAACAGACTGAGAGGAAGATAAACAGAGGGAAAAAAGGCATGAACTTGCCTTATCCATTTTCTTCACTGCTAATGCCTGGAGGGGTGACATGCTGAACTGATGGAAAGGAGGAAAAGGGAGATGAAGGAGAGAGAGAGAGAAAGACAGATGAAGCAGAGGTGGAAGAAAAAATAAAAAGGAGGTATGAGGAAAACATCAGGAATCAGGGTGAAGGGGGATATTAAAGTGAGACAGTGTTAAAGTGAGGAGAGGGGGAAATGACAAGGTGAGAGGATAGAGAAGGGTACTAAAAGGGGAAAAGGAGGTAGGGAGAGAGAAGAAAACGAAGTGAGAGAACAGAGAGCAAACAATGTCAAAAACATGAATTTTGGAAGAAGAGAAGGGAAGACGAGAGGGAAATGAGACAAGAAAGGGGGAGCAAGGAGGATAAACAAACAAACGGGAGAAGAGGTTTAAACATGAGGGGAAAAAAAGGGAACAGGATAAGGGAATAAAAGAAATGAGGATATGGAGGAAGAGGAGATGACATGATAAAAGAAGGAAAGATGACATCAGAAAGACGAATGCTGAATAAAATATTCAAAAGAAAGGGGTAAGAGTAGGAGCAGAGAAACTGAGAGGGGAAAAAGACAAATTTTATTGACACACGAGATGTTGAGGAAGGAGGGAAAAGAGAAGGAGGTGAAGAGTTGTTTGATAAGTGCTGTTTGTCCATGTGAACCTCTGCTGTCCCTTGTGGATCAGTGTTGACCCTCCAAAAAAAAAAAATTTCTCTGACAGCAACTCACATCACTTAACACACTCACACACAAACACACACCCACATGGACATGCAACAAGAGCTGCAAAGTGAGGGCTTTTAAAATATTCATTGACTACCAGCTCTTTAAAACTTGCAAAAAAACAACAACCATGCTTTCATTACTGGATCCTGAAACACATGCACACACACTTCAGCAGACAGTGTAGCGGCTCACAGAAGTGACAGGACTTGGTGTTGGGATCAGGCGGCTACATGAAGCTCGCTGCATTAATACCAGACAGACAAGAGAGGAGGAGGAGGAGGAGGAGGTGGAGGAAGACAAAGAGATGAAGAGAGAAGGAGACTAATGAGATGCATGAGGAGAGAAATGGAGAGAACAAAAGAAATAGAGAGAGGACAGTGAAAAAGAGACAGAAATCCAGAGAGACAATATAGACATGAATTCAAACGACAGAAGAGCAGGAGATGAAGGGAGGACAGAGCTGTTTTCATCTTTTATTCAGTTAGTTAAGGCTTCATCTGTATCCATGTCCTCCTACGCATACACATACACCTTCAGTGTCTCAGCAACATGATCCCAGTGAGGTGGTTGTATAAACCAAATTTGGGTATCAGATTCTTTGAACCTAAAATGCAAGAAACAACTTTTTTCACTTTCTTTCAGGAGTATCTTTCCAGGCAATTAGTTCGAGGGTGGGAATTGGCATTTCCATTTGAGAGGTGTGTGAACTTTTTGTGCCCTTAGCGACCAAGCTAATGAGCTAAGTGATTGGCAGTTATGCAAACCTGCTCCACCATAAGAAAAAAACTTAGCGGGCACCTGATCTTCATATCTTTTTAAAATATTTTTAACATCCTAAAGCATACACACTAAGTAGTTAGATATTATTCTGGGAGAGCTTTCTGTATGATTCTATGGAGTATTTGGGAATTTTCGCTAATGAAGGCAAGACAGCAATTGGGAAATGAAGTAGGAATGTTAGACCAGAAGGCCTAGCTTGAAAGCTGTGTACTGGTTCATCCCAAAGGTGTTTCTTTGGAGTGGGGTTACAAGCTACAACTTATCCAGCTATGTCTTAATGGACTCTCTTCGTCCACAGGGACACAGTCTGGTTGGAAAAGCAAACAGCCATCCATGAAAGGCACCAAGTGCCTAATCGACTGAAATTTTGTCTGTTTGTAGGCAATTTGGAGTTGAACCAGTTGAGTACCAAGGAATTATGAGGCTTTATAAGCTACAGTCATAAAACATTGGAAATCTGAACTTTATATCTGTAAAGCCTAAAACATACAGGATCCATATTGAGAGTGTTCTGTCAGTGTTGTGTATTACGCAGCAAATATTTTGCTGCTCTATGCTTCCAGTGTGCGTCAATCCACACAGAGAAGATCGTTCTAGACAGGATTTCAAGCACTGAAACTGCACATTTCATCTGGTGTTTCAAAATAAAACACCATATGGGAACTCCTGACCGTGTATCAGTTCGAGAAATTCTTCCTGGTTATGGATTTATCAGTAACACAGAACAGTCTGATGGTCAATCCCTGATCCATGTGGACCCCAACAGGACTTTGACCTGCTAACTCTGTCTGACGGTCACAGCACAGCATAAAGGAACATAGTTTACTTTGTTAAACGGTAAACCTGCAAAAACTGAAACTTTAAAATTACGTTGCTTTTTCACATAAAGTACAGGCTCAACGGTCACTGAATTATATCCAAATTAGCAGGAAATAGACCACAGACAGGCAAAGCAACCTGTTGTGAGCATGTTGTCTCCTCTAGGCTGAGCCCAGCTGACCGAGGCTGCACTATGCTGCTGCTACGCTCCAAATATGCATCCTGTATGCAATAAACAGAGCTGCTCTACGGAACAGATACACGACGCCGATGGAACGCGCTCGATATGGATCGTGTATGTTTTCAGCTTAAGCTCAGTCAAATCCTTTGAATAGATTTGTTGGCTAATATAGGTCAATAGGTCATTGTTTTCCACTACTGCTTGATCATTGAGTTAAAGGGTCTAAGTGGTGCCCTAGAAAGTAACCCGTCCAACTTCATAAGGAGACACTTTGCACCCAGATGAGTACAACCCTCCTGACATCCATCAAACCCACATTCATTATCAGACTCCCTCATAATCCAGAGCCAATTATCACTCCAAAGAACTCATTTTCACAGCACAACAGCAGCAGCAGTGAGCTTTACACCTCTCGAACTTGCCTCTTTTTGCAGCTGTTGCTGTTGCTGACTCATGGAAACTGCATTCCATGAGGTGCCTGATAGACAGCTATTGTGCTGTTGTTGCTTCAAGAAGCAGTTTGTATTTTTGTAGAGACGGATTCAAAGGACGATGGACAATATGACATGATACAAATTTCAGCGCTTGTTGTCCCTGCTCTGTATGTTTGCTTGGTCTTTGTGGTTGAGCTGTTGTGGCCTCTGGGCACTTCCACTTCAGGGTCACTTAAAGTTGACCGGGGCAGAAATTTGAGAAAATAGCTTGTGGCAAAGGGTTTGTCTTGTGTCAGCATAAAAAAATGCATAAATTACCATATAAAGAGTATTTATTTAGGAGACAATCCAGCAGAATTCTATTATGGAGACAAATTGACTTTCAGAGTGAAATTTGTCCTTATACGAGGCATTTGCTTTGAAGCAGGATTTTCCAAATGCGCAAATAGTCAGTTGCTTTAGTGTTGATATTCAGTCTGAAGGGTGGAACAAGAGTTCATTTGACAAAAATCTAAATTATCAGGAGGAATAAATCTGTTCAGCCAAGTTATTATCTTTGCCTCCTTTCCAATGACCGATATAATCTGCGTCCAAAGTGCAGACATCAGCAACACCCGTATTGTTTTCATTTAAACTTGCCCTCAAACCAGAGCGATACTGCATGTGTCTTTGTGTGAGAGTTTACCAGAGTGTGTCTAGGTATGTTTGAGTGTTTGCGAGGGCCTTTCCTGCCATTGTGTCCTCTGATATTCCTTCAGTGGTGGGATATTGTGTGGAAAGGCTCTCCCCCTCGTCTCAGCAGGAAAGGCCTGCCAGCTGGGGGTTTGACTAATGACTGTATTGTTGGTCAGGACTGCTCACTGCTCAACATGTTTCACTTCTTTGTTGTGTCTCTTCTGGGATTGATTTGTTACAATCCTTTGTGGTGCTTTTAGACTTTTTGTGTATTTTCACTCTTTATTTTTCAAATCTCTCCAGCCACCCACTGACCACAATACGACTAAAGGATTAAGGTCTTTGCTGTCTTTGAACAGGCATTTACGGTCATGACATTTTTATCTGCAAAGCCAACAAAAGTACATGGGTGTCTTCATTTGAGCCTTTCTAAAAACTGCTCGTGTAGGATGCCACAATTTCAGGTTTTAAGGTACTGCCATTATCTATAATCCCAAATGACTCAAATCCAAAATGCAGGAAACTGACAGATAATCACAAGTGATGTGTCTGCCTTTATGTGACGATTCTCCTCTTGTTCCATATCTTGTTTTATCTTGGGAGCAGACACCAGCTGTATAAATAGACTTTAAAGCTTCTATACACCGAGCAGGTGAACATTAGATCTGCTTCGGAGAGAAAAGTTGTGATGAGTCAGACAAATTAGACACAGATTTTACAGAAAGGAGAGGTAGATTTATGTAGTCAAGGTGGTTGTGATATTTTCTACCCGCACTGTGTGTTAATCTGCTTTTTTTTTCTCTAGACAGCACAGCTGAGCTCATGGTGAAACAGGGGCCATTCAACCTAGATGATCCCAAGGATTATAGCGTGAATGTGCGCATCAGTGATGGAGGGCGACCCCTCCTGACCAGCATCAACAAACTGGCAATCAAGGTATATGTGCACCTTTTATTTGTTGTAGTTAAAGAAACTGGTACCCCCTTTGTTTCTTGCATGAATAAAACCTGGCATGTCTTTTAACGAGAAAAACCCCGAACATGAAATTAAGTGCCATTTATAGATTTGGTGGACATGACGATTGTGCTTGTTTGTTACAGTCTTGCCGATGTGATGCAAGGAGGATTCCTACTCAGTGTAAAGCTGGTGCTCGCAGGATGGGAGTGAGCGTTCATGCCCTGATTGCCATCCTCCTCTGCATACTGACCATACTGGGTAAACTCACTTTTTAAAAAAAAAAATCTTTTCTTCTTTGTCTTCACTTTTGACAGCTTCTTGGCTCAACATTAAGGTGTTTGAAGAGTTCCTAAAAAGGGCTTCATGTGGGTAGAGAGCATCATTTTGTCTTACTTGTCTTGAGAGTGCCTCAAGATCTATCTAATACTCTTCTTTTGATATCAAAGAGCATGTACAAAGGGAACTCAAATAAGGTTATACATCAAAGCCTGTATGCAGCTGTCTTGAGATTGGGGACAACTGCAAGAGGGAGGAAAGTTGTAAAAAGCCTGATTTGACTCTAGAGGGAGCTCTGTTGTATTTGTTTAATTGACTTAAGTGATATAAGTGATATAAGTGATATATATATATATATATATATATATATATATATATATATATATCAATTTTTCGCGCCTGAGCAAACAGAAAAGTGAGTCGTGGGGGTTAAAAAAACCCTACTTTATTTGCAATCAGGAGTGCCGCCCCCTGGAGACCATTGAAAGAATGCAGCTTTAAGGCTCTTCAGCATAAACCTTAGTACCAGGTGCCTGTTCTACGAAGCAAGTTCGACCTAGCGTGGTAGCCTTGAAGCTACCTCGCTCAACTTAACGCAGTAGCCAGCGGTCTCGCTAAACGGTCTTACAATCCTGGTTATCAACCTCGTAAGTGGATCCAGCTTTGCTATGAGTGTGTGCACGCATGTAAGGCGGAGCCCGACGCATCTGACCAATTGCGATCATGGACTAGTCTGGAGCGTCAGAGCAGGCCGGAGAGTGAAGGACCGCGTACTTTACAAACGAGGAGCTGAATTCATTCATTTGTTCATTTCTATCGTGTTTACATTTTTTGTGTGATATTTAGGCCATATGAGCCTTTCATAAAGGTGGTCATCCGGAAAAGTAAGTGGGTCCATGCGGTCCCTGAAAACTCTTGTGCGCCGGAGTGCTCCTCGGATAATGCGAGCACCGAGGTCTATAGGATCCTCCAAGAACAGACAAGCCATTTTTCGAGAGAGCTCATTGGTCAATGGGTGGGGTTTTTTTACTCGGTGAGTTCAATCTGGAACCTAACCTGCCCCGGAGCAGGTTAGCCGTTCAGCGTACGTTGCCTCGTTGCCACCTCACCAAGACGTGAACCTGCGTCGTAGAAAAGGAAACCCCAAACTTATCTTCGAAGTTACCTCGCTAAACTGTAATCCTGCTTCGTAGAACAGGCCCGTGGTCTACATCTTTCACCGAGCCCATGCTGAACTTTACTCTCTCTTTTAAGCCTTGTTTTTACATACCTGGTTATTTTTAAAAACGGGGACAATAAACATCATTTACACCCTTTGTTTAGATACAAACAGAGGACTCGCCCCTGAAATCAATGCTTTTTTTGGAAAACTCTTTTTGCACGTTTGCAGATTAACAGAGAAAAACTGAGATTTGGGTAGCTGACAGCAGATTATTGCGCCGGAAACTGGGTTAAATGCGACGTTGTTTACAACCTGCAGTCTATGTTTACAATCTATGGTGATCATGGATGCATGCAGAATAGCAGTCCCATTTATGCTGGTGCAATACCTTTGTATTTGTTTGCATTTGCAAAGACAAGTGCTGTAGCTATTTGGAGGAGCAGAGATGTTGTTGTTGCTGCAATGCAGGATTCTGATTGGCTAACGTGGGATTGGGCTTCTCGCTACACTGCCACCTACAGGTTTGGCATGCTTTTGACGGCATATACAGGTTTGTGTTAAGGAAAACTTTTCTGAAAACAAAGTGGTGCTTTTTTATTTATTTTTTTGTTAACGGAGGGGGTGAAATGTCCATTTATGAAAGTAACCGGGCACGTGTAAATGTGGTCCAAATCTCTGTTTGAAACTCATGTCCTGCCTCCTCTGGAGTAAAGATCTGGGTCTTCATGCTGCTGTATTAAAGCTCATAAACACTGCATCTCCACCCATTTTAGCCATGTTTCTTTTTTTAACCTTGCAACAGTTTCTTTTAAGTGGAGAGTACAGTGAAACTCTGCATTTTAATTTGGCCTAATCTTCTCATTAAAAGTATTTTAAAACATTGTTGCCTGTTCGTTTTGACGACAGCCTCGTTTGTCTAATCTGAATTCTGAAAGTGGGGTTCGGGAGTACAAACTTTGAAGTTATTTTTTGGAGGATGAAAGATGCAAGTTTGTTGGAAGCAAACAAATCTGAATAACTATCAAACACAGGAGCATTCCTAACAAGCAGGAAAATAACACGTGTCACTTTCTGGCCTGCTTGCGGGTTTATTTGGGGTCCAGGAAATGATAATGAACGGGCAGAAAATCATTTTAAGAAATAAATTTTGACTCTTATTCTTTGTTGTTTGACGGTCTGTTAACAAGCAGGTGCAAAAGACCTTTTCTAACACCTGCAGAGTCTTTATCCTCTGAGAGGATGTCAAGAAGGTGGCATCAGTGATAGACAGAAAATGCCAGCACCGAGTGATCGAGGCATGTGCACAGACTCACTTGCCCTTACTGTGCGATAAATAAGGTTTGTGTTTTGCGGGGAACAGTTCCCCTCCCTTTGTTGTTGGTTTTATGAATAATGCAGTGGCGGATGTGGAAATAATGCCTGCGGTTGTGAGCTCAATATTCTCTTTGATACCTTCGCCCCCTGCTTCTTTTTTTCTGGGGAAAAAGAGACACTTGTCATGTTGGATGAGAGGCACGCTGGAGATAGTTGGCCAAACAAGAGGGATGAGAAATGCTGAGGAAGAAAAAGGTAGGGAGAACTTAAAGATGAAGACAGACAGGGTTGTAGTGACAGATGAAAAAATATCACATCAAGACTCAGATATGGGTGGAGGAGAGGGATGAAACAGATGCACGCAGACGAAAGACGGGTGAGATGGAGAGCTGAGGTGGAGGCAGACAGACTGAGTGACTGAGTGAGACAGAAAGAGGTTAAAGACAGACCCTGAAGTGGAGGATTGTGGGAAAAAGCAGCAGAAGAATAGGAGTGGTAATGAGGAGAGTTTATCAGCTCTTTAGGTGCCGTCTGCTTATCAAACACCACCAAACACTCAACCTATTAACTATTAATACACTCCTTCACTATCGCGCCTTTACCCCTCCGTTTTTCCTCCATCTCTCTCTTCCTCCCTCTCTCTCTCTCCCCCTCTGGGTCTCTCTGTCTCCCTCTCCCTCCCTTTCAGAGACTCTCTCCCTCTTTATCAAACACCCCCCAACACAGGCCAGATTAACTATTTAATGCACTTGTCATTATCTGCGAGGGCCCAAAGCAATTTACCGCGCTCCCCATTCACCGACGCATTTTCTCACAAGAAGTCTGGTTTGACACGCGAAAAAGAAATTTTTCTCAGTCGTTTTTGTACAAAGAAAGGTCTTTTTTTCCCCCTCCTTTCTCGTCCCTCTAAGTCTGATATCTCCAGAGCTTATTAAACTGCAGAGCATGTGTTGTAAAAGATTAATCTGTTGGTTTCCCAGGCAAACTTAAATTAGTCCCGCTCGTCCTTGTCTAAAAGGCATGGCTAATGCTGCCCATCCACTAAGAGAGAAAGAGGTTCATATCAGGACCGAGGCTCGGGGCGTAATCTAATGTCAAATGTATCCCCTCTTCTCCTCATCTGTCTCCTATCCTGGTTCCTTAGCCCCTGATTCACCCATTTTCACTTTCTTTTCCTCAGTCATTGATTCACCTTGTTTGTTTCTTTTCCTAGTTGACTCTTTTTCTTCCTTTTTCTTATCCGTGGGTCTTTCAATGCTACAAGAAGAAGGCAAAAGTAACTTAGCTGATTCTTTTACCCATCTTTGGTCTAATCAGTTGGGACTAGGGATGGGCGATATGGGCAAAAAGATCTATCATGATAAGTTTTGCCATTCTGGTGATAATGATAAAAGTCATGATATATATATTTTTTAATTCCAATCTGTGTTTTCGACTGATTTTGTCTTGAGAACACCAGTTGGCATAATCAAATAAGATACTTAACCACAAGTTACAGTGGTAGGTTATGGTGAAAACACTTTCAACATTTGTTGAAAACTCTTATTACACAGAGTGAACAGCAGCAGCAGATCCACTGTCCGATCTCAGGCATACATTATTGCACTCATCTAAGCCCCAATCTTGAAGGAAATCCCTCATGCTGAGCCTCGTTCAGTAACGAGCTGCTCAGAAACGTCTTCTTCATTATCTTCAGCCATGTTTGTTTGTTATTCTGCTCTGTGTGCGCTATGGCTGCGAGTCCGTCGCCCGCGCTTACGTCATCATCTTGCATTTATTGTATTTATCATGAGATGGCAAATATTTAGCATGGAGATTTTTTCTGTCGATTTATCGTGAACGATAATTTATCACCCATCCCTAGTTAGGACAGCGAGTTGGGGAATTATATGTTTTAAAGAAATTGGAATTATTTGCAGGTTTATTATTATATAAAAGCAAGGGCGCCGGTTTGTTTTACGAAAAGTGGGGGGAACGGCTACTATAAAATGACTTATTTCAAGTAACCAACTAACTTCTGCTTGCATATATTTATTACATGGGATAATCATAGGCTTAAACAAGCTAACACGTTTTCTAACTCACAATTACTTTCAGAAGAAAAAGCCCACTCTGGGTCACAGCTTCAACTTGGCACAGATGCAGATTTACAACAGCTGCAATACAGATAGTGCATCCATGAGCTTCGGAACTTTCTATACTATTGAAAATAACTTGGGTTACAATGGCTTATACGTGAAGGATTTGTGTGTGGTAGGGATCCCCCCACCAAATTGACACCTATGTATAAAAGACCTTATTTGTTTTCCTCTGTTAGCCTGAATATCTCTTGATAACCTTTGACCGTTCTGTTGGTGCTTGCTTGAGATACTCTACTTTATTTTTAGTCAAGCATGTGAAAAGCACCAAAATATCCAGAACATATTTGGATGTTGTGTCCGAATTCTAGTTCAGGCGGACAGCTGTTTACAAACAGGGGATAAAATTAGACTGCAGGTCAAGGGCTTCTTCCTTTTTATATATTTTCTTTTTTCACAGAAATTCAGAATCGACTTACAACTAGACTGTGAAAGCCACACAGTGAGGAAGATTTGTGTCAGTTTAAATCCATAGAAGACACTGCTTTAGATGCATGATTCAACCAAATTACATAACAGACGAAATCATTTGTCAGAGTGAAGACTTACAAATATTCAGAGAAGAGCAACTAGTGTTCTGCAAAGGCCCACTTTTTGTTCAGAAGAAAAAGACTTGAAACTGAATCAATGCAGACAAAAAAAGACATGCAAAAGTGAATCCATAGCAGATATTCTGCAGATATATGTTTGAAGCAATTGTCGCAAATTTAGTCATCACAATCAAAGTTCTCCAGGTCTGTAGCAGCACTCATGAAACACTGATCGCTTAATGCAGATAGAGACAGAGAGAAAGAGAGACGCTGAATTTAAAAGTAATTAGAGCAGATAGTGAGAACTGCTGTCAAAGTGGACTATTCTGAAGACAACAGCCCTCTGATCACTCTACAAAATCTCAACTTTATGACATGACTGTGAAACTCATAAAAGTTTACATGGGAGAAAAATCCCTTAGGTGTTTAATTTTGCCAAATTAATGAGTATTAATTAATGTGTTGCCTCTGTGAGTCAGGGGCAGGTCTAGGGGATGATCAAGGTGGCCATCACCCCCCTTGAAATGCAGTCAACCACCCCATTGGCAACCCCAAAATCCTTATCTATGATCTGCTATTTGCCTTATAAGAGGATGTTGTTAAATTCAACTTTTTGGGCCTTTTATGCCATGGGCTGCTAGAAGTCGTCTTTGTGTTTTAGTCTGATTTGAAGTCTTTTATAATGCTTTAAATTGTATTTATTGTATTGTATTTAAGTATTTTCTTTTTAGGTTTTGACTACTAGGATTTCTATCTGGTTACTCTGCTTTGTTTCCTTTGAAGTGAAATACTACACAGAAAATAGCACCTTGTAGTTCCACTGACCATAGTACTTATAGTATATATCATTAGAGGACATAAGAAGGCTGAATTTCTGCTATACATTCACATGTTTGTGTGTATAAATACTTTATGCCTCTGTTGATCAAAAATAGTCAAAAAATTTCAGACACACCCTCACTATAGGCCCTGAATCCAAGTTAACTGTGCAGTTAACCGTGTAGAGAGGATGCTGCTGTTTACTTTCAAATTTGCACAGGAGCTATGGACAGCAGTGAGTTCAGAGATCATCCCTTTAAATAACATGTTTTGTAAACTGTATTCATTTCTCAGTGCCTGCAGGACTATAGATAACAGCAGTCCTGGTTTGTAGTTCTTGACCACTGAAAGACTGGGTAAGAATCCAGTATGAACTCAGTCAATAGAAAACAGGAAGTAAACTGTGGTCTCTGTTCACCAACTCCTTCTTCCTTTGTTACTTCCACCTTTGCTCCTGATGGACATTAGCCAAAATTCCCACAGTTGCTCAAGGTCCTTGGTTCTGAACAGTAGAAAAAGCATGTCAGTTTTTTCGTGTTTTATACTTTAGTTCTCCCATACATTATCGTCTTTCTTCTTGTACTGGAATCTGTTTCCCCTTTCGCCTTCCCTTACTCTGTTTCTTGATTGTTTACTTCTCCATCTTTCTCCAGGTCCAACTTTTCTTCCCATCCCCTTCTTTCGCGTCTTCTCATTTCCACTTCCCATCCTGTGTTTACTGAATCTTTCTTCCTGTTTCGAAAGCTTCGCTCTCTTCTCTCTCTCTCTCTTTGTTGGAACTGTTTGTCTCCCGACGAGTAGATTCATTTGAGGTTTGAACGCTCGAGGCGAACGCCTCAGACACCTTAAACCATCCACTCCTCATTTTCTTTTCTCGTTCCTGTTCTGTTTTCTAGTCGCTTTCCCTCATTAGTGTTCCACTCCCCATACTTGTTTCCTGCTCCCATTCTTATTCTGTTGTGCTTTTTGTGGCCTAATTTTCTCTCATGTTTTTTAAAGTCGGAGAAATATAAGTCCAGCAATGACTGTAAGAGGAATTTGATACTAAAACATGTTTAAACATGGCTTGAGTTTATCATCTAAATTTACTTTATCCTGAGGTAATGATTTTTTTTAGAGACGCAAGGTTAGACTTAAATGTAGAGCAAATCAACATCTAGACAATTTCATCTTTAGCCATTTTTTGATTGTCTTCATTGGCTTTTAACGAGTCAAACTCCCTCTTCTGTAAAACTTTCAGATGGTTTTCAGTCAATCTGAACTTGAATCATATACTTGTTGGATAATAAACCTTCCTTTGCGTGTCCTTTTCAGTCATAGTGATCCTGTTCGTGATGAGGAAACGCTACCAGAAGGATTCTCTGGCCAGTATGAAGAACAGCGGAGAGATTCACGAGCAGCTCGTCACATACGATGAAGAGGGAGGAGGAGAGATGGACACTAATGGGTATGAAGATGAAAAAAATAATTCTATACGACTTTCATCTCTGAAATAACCCAGATGAGCTCACATGCTATGATTCAATTTCCTCATTCTCATGAACTCCTCATGGAAAAAGTCTTTGAAGCAGAAAATTCAGTTATTATTAATGATATTGTGTCTAATAATAAATCAAGACTCAAATCCTGATTTTGAACAGGTTTGTGATAAAGCTATGGACTCACTTTTTCCTCTGCATGCAGTTTTGCTAGTGAGGTCATAAATACTCATTTAAAGGACAAGGTTAAGGCAGTATTCATTTATTAGCTCTTCATTTTCACATAGTTCCTGGATTAATGTTTCTGTGTAATTTACATGCAACTCCCCCTGCATATGAATTTGCAATATTTATTTACTTTGCTGCATCTGTCAATTTCCTGACCCAGTTTATCTAAAAGAAGTTATTAAAGTTTTATTTCCTCTGGATCTAATCTTATCTTTATTTAAGTCATATTAAATCCATACATAATCCTGTACTCTAGGGATATTGACTGCACCACACTCTAAACTGTCATAATATGATGGCCTGGAGGAACATCTACAGAGTGACAGATGACATGCAGCCACAAAGACACTCCTTTTTTACTTTCTTATTTTTTTCTATCAATTGTATTCACAAATAAGGTCTTCCCAGTTTCTTTCTATAACAATAAATCTTACCTTTCTGTTACAAAATAGGTGGAAATACTATATATTTTTTTACTTTGGATTTAGTTTCATTCACTTAAACAGCATTGTTTAACTATAAATGCCCTTTTTAGTCATATCTAGTTCTGATGAGCATTTAAGACACACATGACACAAAAATTAAATCCTGATTTTTTTTCCCTCTGAAAACTTGATTTTAGATTTAGATTTAGATCTTTTAATTCGCAACAACTTCACCAAACAAAATCACTAAAAACAATGTAGTGCATATGCCAAACCAGTAAGTGGCACTGTAACACCTCACAGGAAATGTACAAAAGACAGAAGAAGAGTGCAGAGCATGTGTATTAAGGTTGTTTTGGCCGGACACGCGCAGGAGCCCTAAAAGAGTTACACTGTACGTCATGTAATCGTTTCAAGATAGACAACCACACGGAGATGAAATGGTCGTCGTTCACAGATTTATGCACTTTCTGACCATTTCACCAAGTACCCTTTACAGTCACCTGAAATGCCATTTCCATGTGGATGAAATGCCAATACGACAAAAACTTTTTATGTGTACTCCTGAATTTGTTTCCATTGGACGGGTTGATACCGCCTTCTGACAGACTTTGCAGTGTGGAGTGGTTTGCTCTTCATCGGAAACTGTGAAGCCGCACCAATTCCTCATGACTGACTTTCTCTTAAGGCTGGGACGATATGATTTTTCTCCCGAATCGATTATTCTACGATTTTTTGGATTTGATTTAAATTGCAATCCTACTATATTGTCGATTTTCTCGATTTTTAGTCGGCATTTTTAACACCAGTGAAACAGTTGAATGCTTATGACTGTCTACTGACTATTCTAAGAACCATATTTCCCCAAAATACACATCATATTTAAGTCAACTTTTAAGATTAATTCTCAAATTTGAAAAAAAAAAAAAAAAAAAAAGATTTATGATCATAAAAATCGATTTACAAATTGTAAAACAAAAAATGGCAATACTTAAGTGAATCAATTTTCTCTCCCACTCCTACTTGCTCTTGCCCCTTTTAGCCATGAAGTTATCACCTTGTTTTGCAAAAGCTATGTTTGTTCACACTGGTGTGTGTGGGAACTGGGGAGCACTCTTGCAGGAAGAGGGAGCCTAAGGTGGCCTGGGGCCGTGAGACATGATAGAGAGGACAAATTTTTTAACATCATCATAATCAAATAATCCGATTACGATTTAAAATCGATTAATCGTGCAGCCCTACAGCTGACTGGCTAAGACCACAAAAACCTACTGGACAAAACAAACACTAAATTCAGAATAAAACATTTCATCACCTGAGCAGGTTCTGGGTGAAAGTGTTTGCTGGCTCTTAAAAAGGTGACATGCATTTTTCTTTCTTCCAGCTATGATGTTTCCATCCTCTCCTCTGCTTGCAATGATGGCTCTTTGCTCCGCCACTCGGAACGCCACCCCCACCCGTCTCTCTATGCCATGGTTCAGAAAGCCCCCCACCATCACCCCCAACCCACTGCGTGCAAGGGCGACATGGCTGCTATGATCGAGGTGAAGAAAGACGAGGCAGATCACGACAGAGATGGCTTCCCCTATGACACTCTCCACATCTACGGCTACGAGGGACCCGAGTCTTTGGCCGGGAGTCTCAGCTCCCTGGAAAGTTCCTCCAGTGGTTCGAATGTGGATTATGACTTCCTGAGTGATTGGGGGCCGAGGTTCAGGACCCTGGCTGAGCTGTATGGCGTGGATGAACCAGAGTACTACCATCAGTACTGATGGAGACTGTCTGCTAATAAGCACATGTAATGCCAAAATACACACACACACACACCAAGATCAAAAACAGCCATAGAAGTACACCCACTTAAAGCCAAAAGCATGCAGTAAATATAACACACCTACAAACACAGAGCCAGGCTTTTAGGCTGTCCATTTTGTTTCCAGAAAAGGAGCTTTGATCGAACACACGACCGTGTTCTCCAAAGACTTCTCGAGCGTCTGAAAACAGAAGCAGGGTGCTCTTGTTCCCAGTTTTAATACTACAAACTTTCGTTATTGTGTGTAATTCAGTGCAACCTTTACTTTGTCTACCCTCCTCAGTCCTCAACTAATCAGACAAAAAAAACCAAGAGCTTCATTTCGTACTTGGAAGGAAACTCGAGCAAATGGAAACAAGCTGTTTTTGTCCTCGGAGGTCTCTTTTTTGTGCCATTTGACTCCTTCAAAAAGATGCTTGGAAAATCTTCAAAGTAACATAGAGACAGGACACCATAGGAAAGTGAGAACTAACTACATCTGAGATGTGAAACAGGACAGGAGTGATTATGAGGTCCTTGTGTGAGGATGCCTTTCATCCCTTCACAGGTGTTATTGTGTGATGTTTGACTTCATTACCTATTCATTCTGTTTGAGAAGATATAAAGATCTGATCAGTTGAAACTCTACTGCTCCTGTTACAGATCAGCGTTTTCCTTGGATGACTGATAGGCTTATTGGGCCATGGCTGACCAACAATGTGACTCAGTTATTTAAATTCTTAATGTTTTATTGCTTTCAATTCATGTTGCACCATTTTGCATCCTTAATTTATGGCCAAAGTCTGTGCCACAGGCAGAGGTTTTATCCTTCACATTTTCATGCTAGTCTTTTTTATGCACCTTTATCCATATGTACCTGCTTATTTTTTATATACTTAAAGGTGGAGTAGGTAGGAATCCGTTTAGAAAGCATCTTTTTGTGGTTTATATACAAAAAAGCTTTTAATATCAGTCAGTAGAAAAGGCAGAAGATGACCCGGACAAAAGCTAAGAAACCGGGTCAACATCAATGAAGCATAAACGCTTCAGGGACGCGTCAGGATCTTACGGACCCTGTAACCGTTCTTCTGGACAGGTAAACCGCTTTAACAAAGTAAGCCAAGTGTCTGTAACAGAAGTGTTTCTTGTCAAATTGGGACCTGCTGCGTGTTGTAGCGCCGCTAAACTGTTTACCTCGGGCCCTGGACTATGTCACTTTATCCTGGTTGTAGAATTCCTGCAAACATTGTGTTTGCTGGTAGTCTGTTGGCATCTATAGTAACACCAATGCTTATTACTTTCATATTGACTGGACCCCATTTGTAAATATCTTAAGTATTTATCTGCATTATATCTGAATTTAATTGAAACAATACGGGCTTGCCTGTTGTGGGCGGGGCTTGCTGGAGCAGAGAGGGAAGAAAGAGGAGGAGCTGAATGGAAAACTGATTGGGAGGGGTAGTGTTTACATTCAAGATTTTCTCCCAACTGGCAGAACTGGCCCTTTCTCAGATCCTGCCAACTCCACCTTTAATGTTGATATGACTATGCTAAAAATGGGTGAACTCCACATGGGAACAACTGAAAAATCTGTATTTTAAAACTATGCATAGATTTTTATCATCGCTGATATCTCAAATTGCTCTTATTAGGAAAAGGCTCATTTGAATATTAACTTTTTAAATTTTTATCTCTTTCCCCATGGGGATGCAAAATGGTGCATGTCAAAGCAATGTATTATTAATTTGTGATTTTGATCGTTTTGTTCAGTCTTATGCCTCCCTGTTGCTTGATGCTGATGGATTTTTGTTTAATTGTCAAAAGCAGCACAAACAGCAAGAACATGGCAAGAGAGATCCCATGTTTGATCTGAAGTTGATGAGTGGAATTGAATTTGAGGATTTGATTGTTTGAGGGGAAAAAAACTTGAGGAGCCACAAGAGTTTAAACTCAGATGTTTGACTCCTTTGATCCCAACATAATGCCAGTGGTGTTTATTTTTTTTAGAAATACAAAAATGAGTGTTTAAATCTGGAAAACTCATCGGTCTGTGATGTCCACTGCACTATTTCATGATACCATTGCATTTTTTTTCTTTTGTTTTACATATTAAGTACTTTTTTTTCGTATTTGTGTATAGTATTAATTCTTTTCATTGTCATAACAGAAAAGTGCATCAAAAGTTCTTGGTCACCGGCACTGAGGCAGTTTTGTCTTGGTGGAAAATTTGAAATGAATAAGGAGTCTTTTTCTAAGTGTGTCATTTTCCCAATTTTTCTGGCTATCTTCAACTCTGAGAAGAGAGGCAGACGAATGAACGCACGGACAGAAAGGAAATGGCACTAGTGCTGCTCAGACAGAATTACAGCACGTTCCCAGGGCTTATTTGACAGGAGCCATCATCACAGTTATTGTTGAGATGAAAGCTCAATTCTCAGAGGCCTACTAGAACAAAAGTCGTTCAGACAACTCAGGAAACACTGAGTGGCAAATGCAGCCTGTCGGACGGCTGTGATGACTCTGAGGTGGCTCGAATAACTTTAACCTTTCATCTTTTTTGGCCACTGTCGGGACAAAAGCTCCCTGATCCAATATTTCAACAATCTCCGGGAGATTTTCAAGGGTTTTTACAGAAACAGAAAGAAATGTTATCAAGAAAGTAAGCTTTGAACCTGTCATTGACTTGGAACTACTTCTCTGACAACCTTTTCAACCCTGGCTTTCTGGAAGAAGGCTTTTGACCTTCTGGTTGTGAACTTTTCTCAATGTTACAGTAGCTTTTAAGCTGTCTGGCCATGTGTTAATGGAGGCTCTAAAGGTCAGTCATTGTTTGAAGTGAAGCCTTATCAGTAAAATCAGTCGAATTCACGTTTGCAAACCTCATTAACAATTTTGAATGCATTGTTGGCCATGCTGAACTCTGCTGAAGACACAGCCACGCGTCTTTTAGACAATATCCTTGTTTGTTTTAGAGAATGAAGTTTATTTATCCCCCTGTTTATTCTGTTTGGTTTGGACTTGAACTTGTTTCTTTAAAACCCTGGCCTCCCTGGAATGCCGTTTGATAAACGTTGGATACAATAGCTGGAAGCCCTGGGAATGCCTTCCTGTTGCGTTCATATGTATACTTAGAGCAACCAGTTCCTCCACCTCACTCTCAGTCTGTCTCTCCTGCCTGCCTTGTTTGCTCCACCGTATCTCCTTCTCTCTCTCTCTCTTTCTCCGTCCTCTAATCAGTTAAACCAAACACAAGAGTCAACTTCCTGTCCATCTGGGAGGTTGCTCCCGCCCCTTCCTGTCTGTGTTATCTTAAGAGGGAGCTAACACATTGTGCTCACTTCCCGTTAGACCCGGCCTGGGAAACAACCTTTAAGAGGAAAGAGGAGTGAGGCAAGGAGAGACAGTGGATGAGGTTGGGGGTTAACGGGAAAAAAAACTGAGGAGAACAATGTAGAGCAGTGATGAGTTTTCCAGCCGAGCAAACACTCTTCTTCAGAGCAAAGATACAAAGATGTTGGTGATGAAATGCTGACAGACATCAAACCGGCAGGTGTTGTTAACATCCTGTCTCCCTGGCATCTTAATGAGGCAAACATTACCCACAGATGATTCCTCCCATTCAGACGTGTTACCCTAACTTGGACTAATGCCCTTTATTACATCCTTCATTTTTGTTGCACTAAAGATTTAACTGCAGCACAACCTGACCATGAGATAAATATTTTACATTACTGATAAAAAAATTTCCAAAATTTAATCCAAGATAAAAATGATAAAAATTTGATACACCCTTGATCAAACATTAGCTCACATGTCTGGTTCCTGTTAAGTTTTGGACAAAGAATAAAGACTCCTTTGTGATTCTGATTAAAAACAAGAGGAAACAATGTGAAAGATACTCTTTTGTGTTTTTCCACTTTTACAGTTGCTTTCAGCTCTTTTTTTAAATAGTGTTTTGCCAAATTATTGTTATGTTTTTTGTAATCAAGAGCTTGAAACAAAAAGAGGTGCACTGTTTTGTACTTTCCTTACAGCAATAAGTGTTGTGTGCACCCACAGGTGGAAATCTTGGATATCTATGGAGGTACATGAGTGAACAAATTTGCCAGTGAAGATTTTTAATTGTTAGGTCAAATTAACTCTGTGTAGAAGACATAACCAATACATTTCCATATCTTAAGGATGAACGTGTAATTCATAGGAGGAATAAATCATACACTTGCAAAATATGAAGGTAATTTTCTCGCAAAAAAAAAAGACAAAAAACATGCAGGTCACATTGTCATTGGTCGTTTCTGTTCTGCTTCTTCACAGGGACTTGTCACATACTACACATTGTTGTTGAATCCATGAGGATATCTTAATTTTTTATTGGCATAATCAGTTAAGTACAGCATAACTGAAATATGGTGATCCTTGAAAGTGCCATATTTAGTTTTTATTTAAAGGCTATGGGCGGTTATGTGAAAGTGTTGTCATTTGTTATCGAATGGTGAATTATTTTGAATCCGGGAAGTGAAGTAATATCTCTCAGGTAGGGATCCATGCACAATAAAAGCACGTTTGACTTTACGTTAAGAGACAAATAGCCCTTATGTTTCAGCATACTAGCAGACCTTTGAGTGATTCATCTGTGATTCCTTCTGTGTATCATGTGTGATAATGAGGGGGTGTACTTTGACTGACATGTACATAGAAAAAAGATGTGCCTAAAAGTGTATTTTTTAATTCTCTGGCCTCACCTTGTTTATCATTTGCCTCAATAACTGTATTCAGAAGATGTTAAACTTGACACAATCTCTTTCTATCGCTGTAAAAAGTAAGTAGAGGTTCATTTTCTCCAGATGGCAGAGAGTCTTTGATGCATGAGTGACAGTCAGAGTGAGTCTGTGATTTTCTGTTTTTGTTCATGTGTGTGTCAGTTTGTGTGCTTGTGATTGTACCCATGTACATACACACAAATGAGTGTTGAACCAATAAAAAATAGCAAACACATAGAAATACTTTTTTTTCTAGTGTAAATGCAGGAGGGGTCTTGAAGGGAGGAACATGTGCCTTTATTCTTTCAAAAAAGAAATACTGTAATTCATTTTTTTGATGGCAAACACTATGTTTTCTATATTGTTTTTATGGTGTATAGCATCTACTTTTTATTACCTGACAATTTTTGTAAGTGTAGAACAAAAAATAAACACTTAATCAAGTTTTATTGTCCTGTGATTTATGTTTTGGAGAGTTGCATTAACAACCAGCTGAGGTTAAGCTATTTTCTTTACATTGTCTTTGAAAGATTCAGAGAGGTATTCATTTGATGTGCAAAAAGAAAGCATAATTAGGTTTGGTGTCAAAAAACTGCATTTGCATGTAAGGACAGTACAGCAAAGAGACAAGCTGGACTGCTTTGTCCACAAGGAGTGCTAAAATCAACACAAACTGTAAAATCCTCATAGGAGCTTTAAGTTTTACATGATTTTTACAAGTACCCATATGTCGAAAAACTACGGAGCCCGAGATGTGAAATGAACTTTTTTTAAAAATTTGCACATGTGATTTTTAATTCGCACTTAGCATCTCGTAAGTGTGTTTTATTGGTATGTTGCGCATGCATTTTCGTCAATAATCCTTCATGTGCCATATTTGTGAGAGAACAAGGACATAGTCATAGACAGAGAGCATATTATCAACATTTTCTTTCATTTAGGTATGACTCACAAAGAGATACTTTATAGCTCCGCCACATTTGGCATTGTTTAGAGTAGGGGACACCCCATCAGGATTCTTCAAGCACAGCAACTTTGCCATTGGTGATAATCAGACTTGCAGGAAGTGATTTTGTTTATCAATGAACAGTTAAATCGCACCTGTGATATAATAAAACACATGTGCAAGATACTAAAACGCATGTGCAATATACTAAGATGCACGTGCGAATAAAAAAAATGTTAATATCACCTCTCAGGCTCCATACAAAACTGAACTTGCTGGTTAGATTTAAAAGAAAAAAGAAAAAAAAAATCATTGAAAATAAGTATTTTATTAAAGTTACCTGCCAAATGAAGCATACAAATGAGATGACCTCATGTTAAATTTGGGGTCAAAAGTGTTCTCATGTGTTTTTTTATGTGTGTGTGTGTTCAGAAAGGCGCTTATAAATAAAATGTATTGTTATGTTATTATTATTATTATTATTATTATTATTATTATTATTATTATTAATAATAATAATAATAATAATAATAATAATAATAATAATAATAATAATAATGATGAACTTTCAATTCATTTTAATGTAAAGTTTTCTCCCTGTCTTTTTTGCCCCCCCAAAATTAAGTTTTAATAGAGTTTTAATAGTATTGATAAAGAAAACATGTTTTTACTGCATATAAGTGAGGGCGAACAGCTAGGAAAAGAGCAAGGCAAGAATAAATGAAAAGAGGCATATTAGAGATCTTAACTTTAAAAAGAAACATGTTTTCAAGAGGTACGAGATTTTATGTTTGAAGGCCAGCTTAGGTAAAATGACATCATGTGTTTTTACAGACATGAACATAACCCACACCCATAAAAGGAGAAGCTGGAATTTGCTGATAATAACCCGACTATGGGTTGAGTCAGATCAGGATTTGTGGCAGATTTTCACTGACTACAACCAAGTTTGAGTGCTGACATGGACCTGAAAATAAATGTTTACATGTATAAATGTATATGTTACGGGCAAATGTTCATACAGGTGGTGTTTTTATACCTCAGGCTCCATGTGTTGAAGATCAACTCTGTTTCTGCGTGTAAAACAACCCAATATGTCAAATGTTACACATTGTGAGGTGGAGTGAGGAAATCTCTGATCTCCTCCGCCTTCATCTTTGTCATACGATCAGATGTGAGTCCAGGGATATCCTCTGTTTATGACTTTTTTAATCCAAGTGTAAATGAAGCACAGGTTCATGCAGTTTTATTATTGTAAGGATGGAGGTGGATGGAGGGGTCAGACCTGCACACAAGTGATCAGATCCATATGAGTCATGAACATGAGGCACGGCTGAGCGTACGAGATCACAAAGGTTGAAACTAGAGTGAGTCTATGAGAGGGAAATACCAAAGTGACGTCAATTCTCCCTGCATGACTTGTGTTGACATCCTGCTGGGAATACACATATCGGCACACATTCTCGGGCTTTTAAAGTTCAATGAGGATTTTGGCCAACAACAAATGTGTCTCTAAAACAGGACCAGGTGTTCATTCACCTTCAGGCTTTGGCCATGTAAAGTTGTTATGTATGACTGTGTTCGTACACTCGTGTCAGGAGGCCTAATTTTCAACAAGATTGAAAGCTGATTGCTTTCTCTCTCAGTACAGCTGTTCCAAAAAGACTCACTCGCTTAATTTATGCCAATCTAATTTCATATTTGGTTCTGGTACACTGGTATACTGCATGGACAAATCACCATTTTACTCTATTTTATTCTCAAGGCTCTAGCAACCACCTGCTCTGTTTGAAAAGCAACATCAGTGTTTAGACCCTTGTTTACAAGAAGTAAAGTTCTTTCTACTTTTCAAAGCACTTCAAGCCCGACTCTGATATAAAACGTGTATTTCTTGCTGTCTACATGTTCATATAGCATTTTTCTGATGCTACAGGATATATCATTAGAAAACCAAGTGTGAAATTGCTTTTCTGAGTATTTCTGCATTCAAATTGCTGTGAACCTCTGACAGACCCAAACGGAGCCCCTCTATGCAAGCCAGACTCAGAGAAAAAGAGAGGACAATAGCAGAACAAGTGTAAGCGTTAGCGGATTGCAATGCTCGTAAGAAAGCTAATTATGATATTAACTTTCATCATGCCTCTAAAGACATTAGTGTCTCAGAGCTGAATAGCTCCTATGTTACCTGCCACGTCAGCTACACTGGCAATGTTAGGCTGCAAGCTAGTGTGAAGAGGAGTGTGAAGAGGAGTGTGCAGAGCAGCGCTGTCTCCACCCACGACTCAGAGGTGAATTGCTAATGATCTACTGGAGCTCTGCAGAAGAAAAGTCCCTGAAAATGACACAGGTAACGTGATTTTGGCTAAAAACTTCATAATTACAATTTAAAGACCACTGAGAACACTTTAAGTAGTAAAAAAAAAAAAAAAAAAACGATGGAGGTGGGGCTTCAATGGTCTCACACCAACTTAATTATTAGATTTGCTTTTACCTTATGAGCCTGTGAGAACCCTCAGGTCTTCGGGCAGTGGTCCTTCAGCGGTGCTTAAATACAAACCAAAAGTCACAGTGAGAAAGCGTTTTGTGAAAACACTCCACATCTGTGGAACAGCCTGTGTAAAAATCTGAAGGTAGCAGAGAGCATCCATATTTCTACATACAAACTTAACATCAACCTATTCAGTCTTATATGTAGATTTACTGACGTTTTAGTCTGTCTCAGTGATTTTTATCTTACATTGTTTTTTTTTTTAATCTGTCTAATCTTTTAGTGTTTTAGTGATGCCACCTGCCTCCTCACTGGGTGAAGCCACCCTGAGAACAGCACCCTCTGGTGACAGGCTGTAGTATAGATCATAAATTCCGCCTCTTCCAGCAATCCCTATGGAGTTGCGGACAAACTTCAGAAATTTATTACGAAGAATATACATTTTTCCCCCTTTTGGTTGTGATGTTGGCATGTAGTTACTGTCAGACTGGTTTGTGCTCAAGTCCTCTTTTTTCTGTGCAGCTCCATTTTTAAAAGTTATTAGAGGGTTCATGTTTTCTATGATTGACACTTGATACAGCCTATGGGCGAACGGAGATAGCGTCGCTCACCGGGGGAATACACTGTCTGAGCCGAGCGTCATCACAGAGAATCTTGGCCACTCTCCCTCTGAATGCGTACAACACTACTGTGCAAGTGGTGGTTCCAGGAAGTGGAGAAAATCCTGGAAATACCGAAAGCAATTAAGCTTCAAATTTATATAATGATGGAAGGCGAAGCCAAGTCGACCATAGTATACACAGTCAATGGAAAATACCAAATAACAGGTTGTCTGTGTAGTTTTTCCTTAGCTCACACCACAGATTTTAAATTCTTGATGTCATTTGAAACATAAGAGACCCTCAAATGTTAACAGATTTAACCCTTTTGTTCCTATAGAGTGTGTGCTAATCACAACATTTTTATACTCCAAACCAAGTGGTTTGGATGTCTAAATAAATCCTTCCTTTGTGTAAAAAATGCCTGAGTTTATGTGTACACCACTGGTTATAAAACTGCTGTACTAAAATTGATCTAATGTCAAGCATATCTAAAAATGACCCTCCTTTTTTAGCATCAGAGGCCAAATACACACCATTAACTTATACGATTTGAAAGCAGCTTCTACAAACCCCAGACTTTAAATAATACATCTCTAGACCGTGAAACACCAGTTGAAGCAAATGTCTGTCTTTACAGCATGTTTCTGTGGACAGTACAACCACAATACATCTCTGTATGATTCTTTGTGGTCCACGGTTCAGCCCTGGTATTTTCCCATTTTCCTTCACTCTCATCTCACCTCATCAGAAACAGGAATGCCCTAAAAAAAGCTTCCACTGAGTACTGTAAGCTGCACAGACACCAAATTTACCCTGTCATCAGTTATTCAAGCGAGGGAGATAGCTGGAAGATGTGACGGATGTGTGCAGGAAGGAGTGAGGCTGAAAGGAAAGAAAAAGACGGTGATCGAAAGAGGAGAGAGGCATACTTCCATCTCTTCTCCCCTTCTTCTCCTCCTCCTCCTCTTTAAACCTCAGCTAAACTTTGGTCTACATGTGGCGAAGACGGGACAGGAGCAGCTGGCGGCAACATGCTAAACACTGCGTTATGGTCAAAGTACAAAACCAGACTATTAAAGTGAGGCTCGCTTTATCCTTGAATACGATTACATGGAGACTGAGAACGGATAATCCTTTGATGCCTGATCAAAGAAAGTCTGAATTTTGAAGTGGGCTGCAGTTTGTGTTTACATGCAAAAGGAGTTGATACGGGTTGCTGTTTACATGACTACAGCATGTAATCCAGTTAAAGAATACTCTGCATTTGGTCACAAGGAGTTATGTTTGTTTCTATTGGTGAGAAAAAAAACTGCAGCGTTCAATGAGCAAGGGAACAGCTACCTGTAATAACAGATGAAATGTATGTCATGCACAGATTTCATGATTTTGAGTTTCGGCTGAATTTGTGCAAG